TTGGAAAACAAGTAATTCTGTATGCCCTATGGTTTGTATACTCCTAAAGCTTTATTAATTGCTATTAAAGCCTTTTATTTTTAATGTACTTAGTATTTCGACGAATAGAAACCAAAAACCAGACGATAAGAGCATATCTTACCATTAGAATCATGTAATTATAAGCTGTAACCCCCCCAGGCTACTTGGTTAGCTGGCACCTCTATCATGAAGTTGGCTGACCAACAATTTGGAAACGGGCACAGAGAACAAAAAGACAAAAACAAGCGCCACCTCGATTGCAGTCATAAAACTGTTAGGATTACGAGTATGCGGTGCGGGGAGGGTTTTGAGATGTCCATCGAGCGATACGGCATTAGGGTAGTGGCAGGCGGAGGAGGAGCGAGGGCTAGGGGCAGCTGGGAAACTGGCACACTTGCTGACATTGCAGTGTGCACTTAACTAGAACCACCACTGTATGCAAGTACGCACGCATACACATGCATGCAGACATGGGACAGTGAACTCTCATGAGTAAATAATGGATTCTATAAATAATATAAATAATTTAATTCATTTCTGCTAAAAATACTCCTTGTCAACACGAAGGCGCGCTTATCGCTGAAAATAATCTATTATTTACCATTGCTCCCCTTTTGATTGGAATTAAAATTACTTGGAAATGAAAGAAAAACCGGTAGATTTCTGAAACTCAAGAAACAAGCTGGGCTTGAAGCGATACTGATAATTGAATTATTTTGTTATTAGTTTAAATATTAAAATTGTATTCCAATTCCTGCATATAAGTATCAAATGGAACCGGAAAATTAGGCAACTAATGTGTACGTTCCACCGTACCGAGACTGTCCTGTTGCCCTGAACTAACTACTCAAAATGGTCAATTTCCCTGCCTGCAGCTGGGCCATCCTACACTTATAATAATGCCTACACACATGTGTATTGCCAGCGGGGGGGGTAAAAGTGATATCAAATATCGGTTGTTAAGGGCGTTTTCCAGCGCGTCCATAACAATGGCTAATGGAAAATGGAAAAAGGAGCACTGGAACAGATCCAGATCCCAGTTAACAGTTAACCCATTAAAAGATCAATAAATCCAGGCGAAGGCGAGGCAGAAATTCGGAACGGAAATGCCGGTTCCCCCCGCCACCCGCTTCTAAACGAGGAATAGAGATAATGGAGGAGGAAGCACACACAAAAAGAAACGGAACGAAAAACGTTGTTATTGCAAATCTGCAAATTCGGACAACCAATACCAGTGCACCGCATCGCACCGCCTACCAACACAAGCACACGTTCTGAATTTAAAAATGCCGGCAACCGAGGAATCCTTTCTATTAAACTTACTTGCTGCTGGCCTTGTCGGTGATATCGCAGTTAGAGATCATCTTTATTCTTAACCGTGAACGGATGTCTGAACTATTAGCGTTATAAAACTGACACACGCGGACGAACACTATCGTGGAAGGCGGAACAACAAATGACAAATTAGAGCTGGGAAACTATCGATGGTACTATCGAGGTATCGACTTTTTCCTTTTTTTGAGCCACCATCGATAGTTTTTTATCACTATCGATAGTACGGGACTATTTTTATATCTCTGCTTTGTTGCTGAAATTTAGTAAGAAAAATGCAAACAAATATATATATATATATATATATATTTTTTTTTTTATAATAAAAATGTATTCTAAATTAACTTAAATTGGAGTTGGTGGTGAAAAATATTAACTGAATCTCAAAAGAAAGGGGTCTACGCCACGTCTTCAGAGTCTAATAGGGTCTTCCCACACACCGTCAAAGCGCATCTGGCATCCGTTGAACAAACGGTCCATAAGGTTTTGCCGTTCCGAATTTTCTCAATTGGCCCTGCATCAAAGCGCATCTAAATGTAACGACCGTTTGTTTGGCGATAGTTCTTCGGTGCAACTCTGAAAATTTGACCATCACTACGAAAGTGTATACACACTTGGCGAGAAACAAATGAGATATGGAATTTAAAACGTGGCGCCAAAGCTACAAGCATGCCCAAAATAGATGTTGGCGTTTTTTCGGTATATTCTTGCCCCAATATGTCCCCAATTGTTACTATTTAATATAAACCGCCTACCTCTACCTTATTTTAAAGATTTTGGATGCCTATACCACCTATAGACACTTTTCGGTGAATTTGCTCTTTGTTAGAGAAAAATCATTAGAAAAACTAAAATTCCTTGTCATTTAAGTCATTTAAATTTATTGCGGATAAATTCTGACGCAATCTGTGCCTTTTGCTGTTGTACAACAGCCAAAATAGCTGGTAAATGCTCCATTTCAAATTTGCAACTGCCAATTCGACCGCCTTTGTTTACGTTTTCATGAGCCACAGCTGATCGATCAGCTGTTCGGATGCAGATGCACTTTGATGCAGCTCTGTGGGAACACGAGTTTCGCATCTGCGAAAAATCCCAAACGTTCCTCACAGATGCGCTGTGTGGGAAGACAGTATAAGCGTATGTTTAGCAATGGTAATACAATTTTATTTGTGCAAAGTTGCTTGGATAGAATATTTATGTTAATTACTTAGTCAAAACATATTGAATCTATATATATAAAAATGGAGACAAAAAATGTTAGGGATCAAATCACAAGAGAACGGCTGGGCCGATTTGGATCAAATTTTTTTTCAGTTTTTTGTAATTGCCAGAAGAAGGTTATAGCATAAGAAAATTTTGGAAAGTCCTTCCGGAAAGGTCGCTAGCGGCTCAACAGATGGACACACTGTTGTATGTAAAATTCTGAAACACCCTACAAAGATCATAGCTGCGTTGAAATTGTGTATCAATGAACTCGGTAAAAAAATATTTAAACAAAAAAATCGAGCTAACGAAGCATTACCAAAGTGAGCTTAAACAATTGGAAGTAATGCCTGCTGTTAGACGATCAAATCTTGGGCGGCGTTCACGCAGTGCAATAAATAATCAGAATTTCCGTAATAGTCGGACGCAAGAGGAACGTACAGAAATAAATGCATCGATACGTGCCCAAATGGCACAGCTTCGCGCTGCACAAAGACCACCTCAAGCCCGACAAAATAATAGAGGAAGACGAGCCGCAAATGAAAACTTGAATCGCGCTGCATTCCCATACAATCCTGAAACATCCTACAAGGATCTTACGTGCGTTGTTATTGGTTCATTATCTGTTGTATGTCAGCATTGTAATGCATTGAAGTTTCGGCTGGAAACCCCCGGCTTATGCTGTGCAGGTGGCAAAATGAAATTGCCCGTTTTGGCTCATCCACCAGAGCCATTGTACTCGCTACTATATGGAAACTCAGCCCAATCAAATAGTTTCCTGAAGCTTGCACAAAAATATAACGGATGCTTTCAAATGATGTCTTTTGGAGCCGAGGTTGTTCAACAATCAGGCTACAATCCAAGTTATAAGGTAATGGCGTCTCTTTATTATCACATTTTTTCAAAATTGCATCCCAACATTCAGATTCAAGGGCAAATTCACCACCGAGCGGGCGCTTTGTTACCACCACAAAACAAAGATCATAAATTCCTTCAGATCTATTTCATTGGTGATTCGGAAGTTGAACTAAATCACCGCTGTGCAATTTTTACTGCAACTAAACGTGAAATTATTCAACAATTGCAAACCTTCTCCATGAGCATAATGAATTGGTCAGATTGTTTAAAACCGCATTGGATATAATGCATTATGACGAACATAAAATCATTATCAGCGCTGACAAAAGACCCACTGGTAGCCATGCAAGACAATTTAATGCTCCCACTATCAATGAAGTCGCAGTGGTGATTGTTGGCGAGAATGTTGAATCACGCGATATTGTTCTTAAGCGTCGGGATAATGGCCAATTGCAGCGAGTTTATGAGACTCATCGGTCTTATGATGCTCTTCAATACCCGTTGATGTTCTGTCGTGGAGAAGATGGGTATCACTTCAACATAAAGATGGTCAATCCAACGACAGGTTTGTTTAAAAGTCATCACGAATTCCGATTATTCCAACAGATCTTCCATTCCAATTCAAGAGGAGTCAGTTCCCAGTTCGATTGGCATTTGCGATGACAATCAATAAATCGCAAGGCCAATCGTTGGAAGTCTGCGGGATACATCTGGAATATCCATGTCTTTCACATGGCCAGCTATACGTAGCCTGTTCGCGTGTGGGAAAGCCGTCATCATTATTTATTTTTGCACCGGATAACAAAACAAAAAACATTGTATATCAGATCGCTCTGCACTAATTTCAGGTCAAAAAAATTTGTCAATCCAACGAAAGGTTTGTTTAAAAGTCATCACTTTTTTTTGATTATCAACTAATTTTGAATTTAAATTTTAGGAGAAGATAGGAATAAGGTAAGGTAATAATGTACGTCAAAGTAGAAACGGAACGTCTCAATTTAATTTGTTTTAATCAGTCGAAGTTGGGGCGAGATAAAGTTCGCCGGGTCCGCTAGTAGTAATATAATTCTATTTTAAATTGCTATAACTTTAATTTGCAAAAAGAATGGTAAAAAAGCGATACTATCGATAGTATCGAATTTTCGTATTCAAAACATCGAAAATATCGAATGGTGCCACTATCGATAGTTTCCCAACTCTATGACAAATGCAACTTGGAATTGGAATTGGAAATGCAAAGATGTCGCGGCACGCTAGAGCTGGGAAAGCAGTCGATGTCTCTATCGATACCATCGATTTTCTGTAACGGCGATATATCGATATAGCTAGAGAAGAAAGTATCGCACAATATCTAGCCACTTTTTCATAATTTTTGGGTATTGTGACTGAACAAACTGTTGCTTGGACCAATTTAAGAAGTCTGTCCCGAACACTAGTTTTTTAATTATACCTACAATTGTCCATGTAAGTTTTCTTATAAACAAAATCAGCTGATTGTTGGTCGTTAACGATAGGTTCTAAACCGATTAATATTGCTTTGCGTATTTAAGATATCGATGCATCGATAATTAATTCGATGTGTTTTCCCACCTCTATTGCACTTGATTTGTTTACATCGAATTTATTTGAAAATTCTTGATTTCTAACTGCTGGCCAGGATGAATGCCGCCGCCCTGCCGGTGGTGCTGGTAAAGTGCCGGATTTGCATGGGCGAGTTCGAGGAGCAGACGATGACACCTCTGTTTGAAGAGCCATCTGAGGGCGGGGATCGACTAGGCGACAGGGTGCAGCTTTGTTCCGGCATCAGGGTGAGTGGGGATGTCCTTAGAATGAATCTCAACTTACTAGTCCAATTTCCCGCAGATTCAGGAGTCTGCCAAGATGCCCAGCACCGCCTGCAGCAGCTGCTGCGAATTCGTTGATATGTGGTTCAACTTTCGGCAGCTGTGCCTGAATGCACAGGTTTTTTGGGCAACCAGTTTTCCGGATGCAGAAAGACCAGCGTATCTGGCCCAAGCCAGCGATACCAAGTACATGGAGTATCTCTACGAGAAGCTGCAACTGAACTACGCAGACTCCAACTATCAAGAGGACGAGGAGATCCTCCAAGAGATAGAGGAGGAGCAGCTGGAGGCCGCTTCCTGGCAGTCGCAGGAAGGCCTGGACATAAGGGACCTTATCTTGACTGAGCAGGTCGAGGACGGAGCTGAGATCAAAGAGAGCCCTGACCAGGTTTTAATCTCTCAACTGGAGGCCTATGAACATGAGGCTCAGTTGGAAGGATATGTGGAAGACAAGAGCCAGTCCGTTGACGATATTTCCCTGCTAAACGAAGACTACAACGAAGTAGACTTTGATGAAGAAGAGCTTGAGGAAGACGAGTTCATATCGCTAACGCCCGATCAGACCGCCAGTCCGTTAGGAAAACGAAAGCCGGGAAGGCCGCGCAAGCCAGATAGCGAACTCAAGGGAAAGCGAAAGGAAAAGGGCGGCCGGGTAAAGCAAGTCAAAACAGACAGTCAAGAGGGCGAGCAGGCCACAACATTTGTGTGCAGCCTCTGCGGTGAAGTCTGTGAAAAAAAGTCCCTATTCAAGGTCCACATGATGGCCCACACGGAATACAAGCCCAACCAGTGCGAGTAAGTGGAAAATTGAGTTTACAAAACATGGTTTTTAATCTTGCTTATGGCTTTTAGAATCTGTCAGAAGGCCTTCCGCCAAAGGGGCGAACTCCGTTCACACATGCGTCGCCATACGGGAGAGCGACCGTACAAGTGCGCCCATTGCGATCGTCATTTTTACGATCGCAGCGAAAGGATTCGCCATGAAAGAGTCCACACCAACACACGTCCCTATGCCTGCCAGGTATGCGGCAAGTCCTTTACGCACACTGCCATACTCAAGAACCACATGCTGGTCCACACGGGCGAGAAGAACTACAGGTAGGAGGGTAGCTTCTCCAAAAGGAAAACCTTGCTTAATAATATCTTTCCTTCAGCTGTGACACATGCTCCAAGTCCTTCACCCTGATGCACCAGCTAAAAGCCCACCTAACGACTCAAACCCATCGCAGTCGAGTTGAGTTGATGAATTCTATGGCCCATTCCGAAGACTGTGTCGACAGTTAAGGTCCTAGCTTAATGCCTAGTTTAAGTTAGCCAACTTCCAAGTATTTCAGTCTATAGTATTTTTAGGGAATACAAAAAATGAATTGTTTACCATAACTTATCGTATTTTTATTAGCTAGCTGCTGTGGACAAACCCGGCGCTGCCCAGGCGATGCGCATCTGTCTTCTCGTGCGCCGTAAGCTGATGCTTCAGGCGGAATGACTTCGAGCAGGGCTGACATTTGTAGGGTCTATCGGAGGAGTGCGTCATATAGTGAGCCTTGCGAGAGGTGGACAAGGCAAAGGTTTTTCCGCAAATGTTGCAGGCATAGGGGCGCTCATTTGTGTGTATCCTAAAATAACGATAAAACCCAGATATAAGATGTTGAAGCTTCGAAAAGCAAGATCAATCCACCTTTCGTGCTTGCGATGACTACTGTGATCCGCAAATCGGCGCGAGCAGTAAGCGCATTCGAAGGGTTTCTCGCCCGTGTGGATGCGCATGTGAGAGGTCAGATTGCAGGCGGCATTGAAGCGCTTGCTGCATACCCTAAAATCGAAAAATAATCAGGTTCATTTGCAATTTAAACAAATGAAACACTTACTCGCATTCGTAACTCTTTTCGGTGAGATGATTTCGCATGTGGGACTTGAGCTGGGAGGGATTGGAATACGTCTTGTTGCAGATTTCACACTTGGGCTGGTCCTCCGAGTTGGTATCTGACTTTTGGGCCAGGCTGTCCTCTTCACTGGCCTCTTGAGGGTACTCTCCGTTGTGTATGGCTATGGGACTGCCCTGCGAGGAGGTTGCCTCAAAGTCATTGTCATTGATCCTATATTCCTCATTTATAATGATGTATTCCTCATTGGATTTATCGAGTTCCGTATTTAAAACGAAGACTTGAGTACTATCCTCTTCTTGATTCAAGTGAGTCTTATCCAAGGGTTCTAAAATCTCTTCCATTTCCGATTTCCCTTCAAGTTCCTCGGGGTTTACCTCTCTTTTCAGGGGTTTTCCGGTGGTATCGTCTACCGGAAAAAAGTTGTGTGTCTGTGGACTGAGCTCTTGCTTTCTGGCACGCTTTCTATGGTTTGGAGGGGATCCATCAGCGACGCTTGCAGCCGAGGACAACGTTTTGCTCACGAGTTTCCTTAGGTGCTCATCGGAATGCCTGCACATCCCAATGAAGCGATGGACCATTTCCAGCTTGTCAACGCAGTCTGCACAAATTTTATCGGGCAAGCCATCGTCATGTTTTACCTAAATAGAAACCATAAATGTATAAACAACATTTCAATTTGATGTTGTTTGGACTCACCAGCAGACCGGCGTGCTGATTTAAATGCTTGACGGCTTCGGATTCAAAGAGCGGCTGGAGTGTGGAGCACCGCTCGGCCCTGCAGGTGCGGCACATGCTCCACTTGATGCTGATCTCCATGAGGTGCTCTTATTTCGGCGCTTTCCTTAAGATTTTCTGGAACTCAGATTTAAAATACAAAAACTAAAAAAGAGCCAGGGTTGTCAGGTTGGCAATGTTTTTCGATAGTTTTAAGCGATAGCTGTGATCGAAATGAATTATCTAAAGAACACTAAAGCATAAAACAAATTAAAATTAGTTAAACCTAATTAATTGTTAAAAACAGCTTAATCCATTCATTTTTATGCAAGTTAGATTTATTAATTATTTTCTACGCATCGATTACTGATGGCACTATCGATACATTTGCACAATTTGACAACCCTGGGTGAGGCAGTGCTGCAGACGCTTGTTTATTTTCCTGAATTTTCCCGACTGCGACTGCGAAACGGAGCCACCATGCCCGAGTTTATGCTGTGCCGGATCTGTTTGACAGACCACATTAACGCGGACACGATGTCGCCCCTGTTTGACGAGGAGGACGAGGAGTGTCGAGAGCTGGTCCGCAAGCTGGAGGAAGTGGTCAGCATCAAGGTAGGTTTATTACCAGTAACCTGGGCGAAGAATACCATTGACTCTTTTGGATTTGCAGCTGGTGCCGCTGCAGGACATTCCCAGTATGCTGTGCTTGAACTGCCTGGACAAGCTGACCAACGCCCATGACTTCCGGCGGCTGTGCCAGGTGGCGCTCACCACCAATGTGGTCAAGGTAAGTGGGCCACCGTCAGCTAAAGAACTGGGATTAAACTAGTCTCCCCTTCCAGGCCGAGCTGAAGGTCGAGCCCACCGATGAGGTGCCGCATATAGTGGCGGAGTACATCTACGAGGCCACCAGCGATTTCATCAATACAGAGGAGGAGGGCATGGAGCTGGAAGCCATGCTGGAGGAACGCCTGGAGGACGGCATTGCGGAAACGGAGCAGCCCTACGAAATAGACGCCGTGGCGGATGAACTAGACGAAAATGAGTTGCTAGTGCATCAGGGCAGCGACAGTGACTACAATCCCGGCGAGCGCTGTCGCAAGCCAAAGGTGCGCAAGACCCGACACAGCAAGCGTGGTCGTGGACGACCCCGCAACGCTGCTAGTAATGCCCAGGAGATGACACCTGTAGCCTTAAACTGCAAGTCCTCGCCCGAGGAGACCACCACGAACATCATGTGCGAGATTTGCGGCAATATATACTCCAAGCGGGCGGCGCTCAACATACACATGCGTCGCCACATGGCCGAAAAGCCTTTCGAATGCGAGTGGGTATCACAAAAAGGATTTTTGAATTATAGATTATTTTAATGAATATATTTTTATTCCTCCTAGAATCTGCAGCAAAACCTTTGCCGGTCCCTCGGAGTTAAATCGCCACATCCGCGTGCACACGGGGGAGAAGCCGTTCATGTGTAAATACTGCAACCGGTCTTTTGCAGACCGCAGCTCTAACATCAGGCATGAGAGGTAAAGCTGCTTTCCTTTCTGGAAGCTTTGCTAAAAATTTATGAATTCCCTTGTTGTCCTTGCAGGACCCACACGAATGAGCGACCCTTTACCTGCCCCACCTGCGGCAAGTCATTCTCCTATTCGAATGTGCTTAAGAACCACATGCTTACCCACACGGGAGAGAAACCCTTCCTGTAAGTTAAGCCTTGACCAGCTGGGAATATTTATTTACAATTTATTAACTTAGATGTCGACCGTGCAATAAAAACTTCTCCCGTAAACATCAACTGGAGCAGCACATCGGGACAATGACCCACCAACTGACTATGCGAAAGCACCAGAATAACGACGCAATGCGACACACGGAGCTCTACTAGTCGTCCCTAACGAATGCAATTAACGTAAAGCCCTATTATTATTATTATTAGTAATTGTAAATAAAAAGAGTACAAATGGTCCGCGCCGGATGTTACAAGTTATGGTTTTAATCAAAAGTTACAAAATACTTGCACTTTGCAGATTCAAAAAGAGATCGAAAGATTCTTACATTATTTATGAATATTTTAAATATAAAAAATATCTATAGTTTATGTACATTTTACGCTAAACTATTTGCCATTTCCAGGTGATTAATGGTTGTCATATGATTACGCAGGTTGGACTTCCTTTGAAAGCTCTTATCACAGATTTTACAACTAAAAAATAAATGAAATTTTGAGCTGAGAAAATATTAAAAATTTCAACTGTAAACCTACTAGTGCTGGCGCTCCGAGGAATGCACCACTTTGTGCTTGTTGAGGCATCCGGAACTGATGAAGCTCTTCTCGCAGATCTCACACTGAAAATTGCGCTCGTCCCGGTGGCGACGATGGTGCTGCTGACGGGCACTGGAGTCCGAGAACCGCAAAGGACAGTAGATGCAGGCAAAGGGCTTCTCGCCGGTGTGGGTACGATTGTGGCGAAGCAGTTCCTTGCGGGTGACAAAGCTCTTGCCGCATCTTAAGACAAAAAAAAGGTTTAAAAATATATTCCAAATTTAGAGTTTTAGTTTAAGATTTACCCAAACTGACAATGAAAATCCTTGATGCCCGTATGCCTGAGCTTGTGCTCTAAAAAGTTTGACCTGCAGTTAATACTTTTCCCGCATTCTCCACAGACATAGGGTCCACCTCGGCCAACTGGTTTTGGTTTGGCCACTTTTTCCGATTCTCCAGGAATTGGAAAGGTTTCTGTGGGTTCCAGGCTTAGAGTAACTTCATCTTTCCTGCTGAAATACAACTCGATTTCGGTATCATCTATGTCCTGCTGCTCCTCTGCTTGTATTGAGTTATGTTTGAGGACAGCCTCGATCCTCTCCAGATTCTGCTTCTCGGATATAATGCAGCGTTGGCGGAACTTAATAGCTACGTTGAGATCACCCAGGCAAGCCAGGCACAGGTGTTTGGAGAGTTCTTCTCTATCACTTAGCTGCGAAATATAAAGAAGAATAAGGTAATTGTTAAATTATTTACTGCCACATACCTCTACTCCCGTAATGGACAGAATTTGGCGAACCAAGTGAATATTTTCAGGCTCAAAAATGTTAATTGGAGCCTCCTGTCCAGAGCAAATGCGACAGTTTTTATTTGGCATTTTGAGCTTTTCTATTTTTAAGTTAATTGTTTATTGTTTACGTTCCATGCCAGTATGTGTGTGTGTGCGTGAGCTCAACAGTTTAGACATGGACGTGCCGTTTATCGAACCCCCCTCGCTACACCCCTGGTTTCGATATCGATAACAAAACAGCTGATCCTTTCACATTTTCCCAAAACAAATTTTGTTTATGTTCATTTTCTGACTATATCCCAGCTTTAAAATGCCCTTTCAGTGCCGGACTTGCGCCGGCGTCATCTACCACACAAGGCCAAAGAATCTCTTTAGCATTGACAACGCCACAATGCTGCTAAACCTTAGACAGGTGACCGGCGCTGTGGTAAGTTTCAATGAAATCCTGGTTTTCCCTTCAATTAAAGTTTTACGTTCAGATTAATAATGATCCGGGGCTGCCCAGTTGTATTTGTGGCTGCTGCCTGCACGACTTGAAGCTGGCCATTGTGTTCAGGGAACGGTGCCTCCAAACGCAAAAGGATCTGCTCCAGCGCGGCAAGAGTGTCAAAGGGGAAGTCTTTGAACAGGAGCAACAGGATGACCAGGAGGAGGAGGAGGATGAGGTAGAAGAGATGGTGGAGGATGAGCAGGAGGAGGAGGCGGAGGAAGAGGAATGCGAAGCTCAGCAGGAGGAGGCTAACACCGATGGGCTGGCTTCGTCTGACGTTTTGGATGACTCCTTTGAGGCAGACGATTTCTATGATGAAATCGACGCTTGTCTCGGCGTCGAGGAAGAACCTGTCAAAACTGTGGAGAAGGCCGACACCCTGAACACAAATGTGACCGAGGAATTCGAAACCATTTACGAAACCAGCACAGATCACGAAGAGTTCTTCAGCCGCCTATCTGGGGGTGAAATCGAGGAGGACTGCTACACAGACTGCTCCTTTTCGAACTCTTCCAGACATCTTCAGCCAAATCGCAAACAGAATTCTTCTACAAATAAGGCAGAAGTCGCAGAAAACAGCCTTACGGACAGCTCCTGTCCAGCCTCTCCCGTGCAGTCCAAGTCAGTGAAGCAACGGGTTCGCCTACGCGGGAGCACATCAAAACCCACCGACGTTGATTTTGAACCCCCGACGACACCCCCGAAGACCAGGAAAAAGAAACCTTATGTGACTTGGAAAAACATGACCGAGGAACAGATTGTGGCGCGGAAACGACAGCAACGCATGCGCGATTGCGTGTGCGAGCAATGTGGTAGGCACTTTAAGGACCAGAGCAACTTCAAGCTGCATATGCTGCGGCACACGGGCATAAGGAACTTTGCCTGCGAGGACTGCGGAAGGCGCTTCTACACGGAGCACCTTCTGTCGCTGCACCAGAGGATTGTGCACAATGGTGAGCGGCCCTATGCGTGCCGATTCTGCCCCAAGACCTTCCACAACAGCACCACCCGTGTAATTCACGAGAGGTGAGTTAATCCTTGGATCCATGAAGATTCCCATCAGTTGTAATCATAATAATCCTTTCCAGAATTCACACAAATGCCCGACCATACAGCTGCACCCACTGCGACAAGTCCTTTAGCTCGGCTTCCGGGCGCAAACGTCATGAGCTGATACACACCGGTGTGAGGGCCTATTCGTGAGTTCATCTCTTAATCTTAATTAATAAATTGATTATTAATAAGGTTAAAAAAATTTAGCTGCTCCATTTGCGAACAATCCTTCCAGCGCAACACACATCTAAAGGCTCATCTGCGATCCAAACTGCACGCTTTTCGGGCGGAGTCAAATAACATGAAGGAGGAAATGTAATGGGGCAGTAAATTAAATTAAAAATTAAATTAATTAAAAATCAATTCATTTTTAAATTAAATTCTAGGGTGGGAATTAATATTAATAAATTAAATTAATTTAATTAAAATTATTTATAATTATATTTATAAATTTAATTATAGTTTTAATTTAAAATAACGTAATTTTGTATATCTATCGAATATATTCGATACATACCGAAATTTTCATCGTCTTGGTATATTTTGGTATTTTAGTGGCGGTCTCGGTATTTTCCATTGCCATCCGCCGCGGTATATTTTGGCGCTTCAGCCACAGTCACACTGCAGACATTTCGCCAGGTTTGTTAAAATTGTTAAACTTTGCATAAAATACCTCTTAAACCTGGCTTTTACAGCTAAAAGGCGTGCTTAAGCGAGGATAATACCGCCCGAGCTCCGTGTGTCACATTCGCCGTCATTGCCCAGCGCTAATAACCTGTTACTGACCTTGGACAGCATGGAGCGTCGTCGTTTGCACATGAACAACAGCCCCATGGCCGACTCCACGCGGATTGACGCTTCTTGCATGTAAGTGTAGGGTGCCTGCCACATCCGCATAGCTGGCTTATTAAAGGTGTTTTCTGGCGTTTTTGCAATTCCAGCGGTAGCCGCCCCTCGCCCAGCAGCAGTTTTCTGATGACACTAAGTCCCCTGAGGCGGAACAGCGTGATCAGCAGCAGCAACGGCAGTCGCACCCCGGAGGAATCGCTGGCCCCGGCCACTGCTGGAAGCAGCAGCAGCATATCAAGACAAAAACTGAATCTTAGTCAGTTGGATCCCAAGTGAGAAACATACACATTAAGAATCAAAAAGCAAATTTTCCTAAAATTAACATTTCCAGGACCTTTGCCGATGTGCACAGCAGTGGCCTGACCTCTCGCATAGTGGCCTACCATGAAAACAGCCTTGGTAGACGCGGCAGTGGCAGTGGTGTTGCTGGTCTGCAGCGCAGCATGTCCGTCAGCAATCTGTACAGTCCACTGTCGCATCCACGACGGCCAGCAGCCCCACCACTGCCCTACAAGTCGAGTGTTCCGGTGCTCTCGCTGACCCAGATTGCACCGCCAGAACGTAGCTTTTATTCCGGCAACACACTGCCCAGCCTGATGCGATCCAACTCTCTGGTCGGTGTGGCGCTAAAGACCAGCGATCAGGAGCATTTGTCGCGGGAGAATCGACCCATCCTGCATCCGCCACATCCGCAGCACGAATGCGAACCCACCAGAAGCGTTCTGGAGGAGCTCAAGGAAATTTCACGCAAACGCATCAACAGTGGTGTAAGTTGGAATAGAGCAGAGGGCAGCAGGAGAGCTATGAGCTTAGGTTTCGCTTGCTTTCAGGATACGCAGTCTACGCACGACTTTACGAAAAGAAGCTGCCAGCGGGAGGACTTTGTGGACCACCATCAGCATCATCACCATCAGCAACACCAACACGAACTCCATCGGCTGCAGCAGCAGCATCAGTCTTTCAAGAGGCAGCGGGAGCTGACCGTATCTGTTCCGCTCAGACACAATCTTACCTCTTTGCCTGTTCCGCCGCCGACACTGCATCATATGTACTCCAATGGCGCAATCTCGCCCCGCCAGTCGCCGGAGCAGGTGGCCAAGCGGCGAAACTGCAGCTACAGCAACGATATTGCCTCCTCGCTGAGCTCCAGTCAAAGGCACAGCAACAAGCGGAAGCTGTTTGACATGCGGGAGAGCCTCCAGCGAAGCCATAACGAGACCGCCGTCAGCTCTAGTTCACCGGAAACTTCGCCCAAGTCTAAGGTTCAGCGTAAAGTGGATGTCGAGTCTATTGGAAGGACACAGAGCATGCCCATTCCCGCTGTTCCGGCTGTGCCACCAGCGCGTACAATCTCAGCACCTTCCGCCAAGAGCCACAACAAGGATCAACGCCCTGCGGAGGCTCCTCCTGCAGCTGAGAAACCGAAGCTTACCCTGTTCAATGCGCGGCAACCCTCAAAAACGTCAGTGGATCAGCCGCGTCAGGATCTCAACAGCCCCGATGTGGATGCCGGGGAATATGCGGGCATACAGTTTGTGAAGCCCAAGCAGCAGAATTCCATGTTGGGCGTAAGAAATCCCAGCGTGGAGCGCACTCAAAAGACTAAGCTGGCCATCATGTTGAGCGGCTTGAAGGGTGAGCTATATCAAGGTGAGCCAGAGGAGGCAGATGAGCCTGATGCCACACTGGTGCCACCGCCTAAAGGGCTTTCAACGCCTATTAAACCCATCAGTTTGCCGGTTGTCACTTCTAAGACCAGCAGCACAACGACCATTACAACCACCACAACAATCTCTCTGACCACAACAACGACCTCTACGACCAGCGTTTTCACCGCGCCAAAGACTATTGTGTCCCCCAGCAAGCCGGTTATATTGAGCAACCAAGTTATAGTGCCAGCGGCGACGATAACGGCAGCAAACACGTCTACAACTGTGCCAAAGCTATCCTTTGGACAGGCAAAAGAAAGCGCTCCAGGAGAAACAGCAGCTGCTCAAGCTCCAGTAGCAGCTCCAGCTTCAGTAGCAGCTCCAGCTCCGGCAGCAGCTCCAACTCCCATCTCAGCAGTAGCCCCATCTGCAGCTTCAAATTCCACGCCCGTCACCACAGACAAAGCCCCAAAAGCCGCTACTTTAGGAATTCAGTCCAAGTTTAGCCTGCCTGCCACTACATTAGCTTCCGGCTTAACGTCAGCTAAGCCCTTGCTTAGCTTTGGCAGTCCAAAAACCTCCACAGCACCCACACTGACCTTTGGATCTACCAGCAGCAGCACCACTACTTCCATCACCAACACCAGTAGCTCCAGCACAGCACCCGTATTCTCTTTCGGACAATTACCAGCTTCTAGCAATGGACCCACCGTAGGCGCTGCCACAAGCTTCAAAACAGAAACAACAAAGGCAACAACTACAACTCTACCGACCTTTGGAACGTCCACCACAACGGCAACTGTCCTGCCCAGCATGGCACCAACTCTAAGCTTTGGCAGCACAGCAACCACATCGCCATTTGGCACAGCAACTGCAGCAACAGCCACCAGCAGCATGATAAGTCCACCGAAAGCTGCTCCAATGTTTGCCTTTGGACAATCAAACTCAACGGGTAATGGAGGAGGAAATTCAGCAGAGAAGCCAGCAGTATTTAGTTTTGGCGGAGCCACCAATGGAGCAGCGGAAAGCAAACCCACCGCCTTTGGCGGTGTTTTCAATACAAAACCAGAAGCCTCGAAGCCAGCAGGAATCTTTGGAAGTCAGGATAATACCTTTGGAAGTCCCTTCAAGCCAGCAGCAGCAGCAGGAGTAGCAGCAGGAGCTGCCAAGTCCACAGAGCCGGCAAATGCCTTTGCCTTCAAGACTCCAACAACCAACTCGGCTACGGCAGCCACAAATCTCTTTAGCTTTGGAGGAGCCAGTGCGGCCGCGAAACCAGCAGAACCTTCAGCGAGTCAACCCTTTGGGCAAAGTGGAGGCGTAGCTGCAGCCACACCCTTCAGTTTTGGAGGAGCAGCCACAGCTGCCAAGGAATCAAGCACTGATGTCAACAAATCTGTATTTGCATTTGGAGGAGGAGCAGACAAGAGCTCAAGCTCGGGCAAGCCCAGTGCTATGCTTAACTTCGGAGGAGGCGATAAGGCTACTCCTGCGCCAGCTTTTGGCAACGTAGCCCCAGCAGCAACACCGGCACCTGCGCCTACCAGCAATGCTTTTGCTTTCGGCTCTTCAACGAAACCCTCAACACCCATGTTTGGTAGTAGTGGAGCCACTGCTACACCAGCAGCCACAAAACCATTTGCATTTGGTGCCGCACAGACCACACCGACAGCGGCGGCACCTGCTCCAACAGGAGGATTCTCCTTTGCCGCCGCCGCCGCATCCAAAAAGACCGAGGAGCCCAGTGGGGCAAACTTGTTTGGTAGTCCCGCTGCCAAGCCAAGCTTTAGTTTTGGGGGAAGCACCACCAACCAAGCAGGACCAGCAGCAGCAGGAGCAACACCAGCCACAGCAGCTGGAGGCTTCTCTTTCGGCAAAAAGGAGGAGCCGGCGGCCACCAATGTCTTTGGAAGTCCAGCGAACGCCAATACAGGTGTAGTGAAACCCACATTTGGCTTTGGTGGCGCCAGCAATGCCACACCAGCTACTGCTGCATCCTCTGGATTTGGAGGCTTTGGGGCACCAACAGCAACTGCAGCAGCAGCAGCTGCGATACCACAACCAGCAGTAGGAGGATCAGCCAATCAGAACAAACCCTTTGCATTTGGCGGAAGCACAGCCGCCGTAACACCCAGCCCTGCACCGGCTTTAGGAGGCAACCTGTTCGCCAGTGCGGTGGCTGCCACCCAGAATCAAGCCAAGCCGGGTGGCTTTGCCTTTGGTGGGGCCAAGAACGCCACAAACAATTCCACTGCCGGCAACGCTCCCTTTTCATTCGGCGGAGCTGCTGCTGGCGGCATTGCTTCGCCGCCCAGCAATCAGAGCATGAATACGGCCAAGCCGTTTAGCTTTGGTGGCGCTGGTGGCAATCCAGCACCCACTGTCTTTGGCAGCCCAGCGCCGGCGCCGCCAGCGAGCAATCCGGCAGGAGCCTTCAATTTCAGTGGCGGCGCCAGTCCAGCCCAGCAGGCGAACGCTGGAAACATGTTTGCCCCACCTCCGGAGAACCGGCCCATCCGCAAGGCAACACGGCGGCTACAGAAGTAGTTCGGCGCTTTAAGTCAATGTTTAGATCGTTATCGTTTCGTTTAGGTAAAATTTCTATAAAGCTCGGTAGTTTTCGAAATAAAGTTTGTATGAAAATATAAATCTTTTTTTGACAAAGAGGAGGGGATTGTCCGGGAAAATTGATTATTGAATTAAGAACGTATTTCCTTTGATCATAGGTATAAGGAATTGATTGAAATAAAGGAATATTTATGCCCATCAGACAAAAACTTTGTTAAAAATATTAAAAACGGAAGTTTTACGGATTTAAGGCGGACAAAACGTTCGATTTTAGTTAAGACAGTAAATTTCTTGTACTGGGGTTTGTGACAGCAAAAGCTATCATTTTCGGAATCCGAATAAGATTTCGATTGCGGACCTTTTACGATATAATTATCGGTTATGATTCTGAGAATTCGCGATACTCGTCCGCTATTCATCCGTTTGCCCGTCCGTTTTTGAGCATTTAGCTAAACTAATGCGTAAAATCAGAATCTTTGTCCGTCTTTAATGTTTTTAGCGGACATTTTCGGATCCATCTGCTGGGAAGCTGCAAAAGTTTTGTTGTTTTTGTGAAGGAAAATAACTCCTGGAAGCCGAAATTTGTATACCCAATTAGAAATCGATCGTAACTAAGCCAAAAATGCATCAAAATCAATTCAGTTATAATAAAAATTCAAAATCGCATTCATGCTTGTATTCTTTACTTTTATTAAAAGTTTTAGAACTCTCTCTGCCATCGTTTAATCACCTCAATTAAGTTTCGTGTGGTAGTGGTGCAAATTGTTGTCTGGTCTCTCGAACGTTTCTTTCTTTTACAATGTGGATAGATGTGTTTTGTGTTTTTTTGTTTTTAAAAAAATAATAACTTTAAAATTAATTAATTGTATGTGTGTGTGAGGGGTGTATGGTGTGTGTGTGTGTTTTACATAAAGTAGACTAAAATTAAATGTTAAAGCAAAGTGGCTGCCGCTGGTTTGGAAATAAAAACGCATAAATGTACAAGGTTTTGCTTAACATAATACATGGGTATTATTAAGTAAATTAAGGGGGTAACTCTTTATAAAATAAATTACAGGTTTACTTTGCGTTTATCGGTTCGATTAGAGTACAGAGAGAAGGAGATTCCTTGTTAGAAGAACGGACCGAATAATGAACGAATAATATATTCACGAACTTGGCGCATATAATAATTTATGTATTTATATTATTATTAATCGATTCATATGCTAAATACGTAGTTTATGTGTGTATTGTTGTATTATATGTAGAAGTTGTAATGTAATGCATATTTTCACAAGTGTTTTTATCTTTTTTAATTTTTTGAGTTTAAGGACACGCGACTGTAGCCGCCTTCGTTCTTTTCTTTTTAATATAATTTTTTTGCTGTCTTCTTTTTGATTCCCAATACAAATAAATGTAACTAAATTTAACTAATTCTCAGCTTGATCTCTTCCCCAACGACTTGTTGGACAAGTGCCTTGTGGTCATCCCATCATCCCCCCTGGTTTTTGTGCTACAAACAGAAACGGAAACTCGAATAAAAGTTGTCGTCTTTCAAATGGGGAAACACATTCTATAAACAATTGCTTGCCCCCAAGAAGGGAGGTGGAGGCGCGCTCATATGTATGCGTATTCTATAACATAAAGATACAGGGGATACAGAAAATAAATCTTACAGTGGAGTCCGATAATAAATAGCTACAGTTACACAGATAACGTAATATTGTGGTAGTAGGTAGTTAGATAGGCTACACAGAAGCTCTTCTTCCCCACCCTCTTGTCCTTGCCCGTAGTTCGTATTTAATTATATGTCGGAAGCTGGCGCAACTCACTAACATTGCTTGATTGTGTTGGGTTCCATCTCTTCGCTTAGGCTTACAAAAACTTACTCCATAAATTATATATGTAAATAAATTGTTGTAAATTAGTTATATATTCAAGTATGTATATAATCGTACGAAAAATTGTTGCGTTCAGTGTTCGGTGTTGTTGGTTTCAGCCTGCGCTTATTCGCTTCTTCTGATCTCTGGCTCTGGCTTCGCTGGCAACTGTTCTGAACAATCCGCTGTAGTTTCTCCTGCATCAATCCCAATCGAGGTCTCCTCACGCTGTGGCATTGTTCAGCAGTTGTAGCTTCACCTTGAGCTCTGCGAATGTGGGTCGCTTGGCGGGATTGAGGTCCCAGGCCTGGCGCATCATCTCGTAGATCTCCGGTGGACAGCCCTCGGGCGCCTCCATTTTATAGCCCACCTCCACGTGCTTCACCACATCGGCTAATGGCTGCAAGAAAGTTAGTTTATATTGAATTAATTCCTGATTTTATTGAAGGATTGGGTCACTTACAATTCGGGGATAAGGCACGCGTCCAAAGGAATAGATTTCCCACAGCAGTATGCCAAAGCTCCACATGTCGGATTTATTGGAGAAACGCTGAAAAAACAAAGAGTATTTGTTTAGATTTAGGGATATATGTGGACGGAAAAGGGGTATATATCGATAAAAAATCGAAAATCAATATTTTAAAATATATTATATATATATATATATTTTAATTTCAAGGGTAAAATATTATTGTTATCGATAATATATCGGAAAAATATTATTTAATTTAAATTTGTATAAATATATCGATAGAAAATCGAAAGAGGTCGTAAACTTCGATGTATTGAATTTTAAAATATTAAAAAGTATTGCTTTTAAGGGTAAAATATCGATCTTATCGAAGATATAAAACATTTTATTTAATTTATATTTCTATTTTTTTCTGATAAAATTGATTCAATAAATCCAACAGAATATCAATTTAATGCACATACATAAATTATAAAGTGATAACATAAGTTTTCTGTGTAAAATATCGCTACAGTAGCGTTATATGTATTATCCCATTTCTTTTCTAAATGCTCAACAGTTCCCACAACTTACCCCATTTTTCAGAGCCTCGGGAGCCGTCCATTTGATGGGCAGCTTGCCAACGTCTAGATTGTAGCATTCCTCGCGGGCCAAACCGAAATCCGATACCTTGGCCACACAGTCCTCCGAGATAAGGACATTGCGGGCTGCCAGATCGCGATGCACAACCTTTTTGGCTTCCAGATACTCCATACCAGAGGCAGTGTCGCTGTTTAAATAGGAAATTTAATTACAATTTAAAATTGATAAATAAGAAATACTGAAAACCTACTAGGCAAAAATGATTTGATCCTTTTTGGTTATGTGCTGTCGTCCGCGTGATCGCAGGTAATCAACCAGTGACCCCTTGCTCATGTACTCTGTGACCAGATACAGGTGCTTGCTGGTGAAGACCAGGCCAATGAACTTGACCAGGTTGTCGTGTTCCAGGGTTCTGTTAGGGAAATAATGAATTTTTAAATAATTAAAAATGATTTATGGGGAGCTGAGTAAAAACGTACGTCATGACGGAGGCTTCGGCCAGAAACTTTTGAACGGCCCCCTCATCCTTGAGCATCTTGACGGCCACTTTTTCGTTACGTAATATGCCCAGCATCACGTCCCCGAACTCGCCCTTGCCAATGCTCTCGCGCAGCTGCAGCTCCGCCTCCGGTATGACCCAGCCCTTGTCCACGAAATCTTTGGAGTTGATGCAGAACTCTTGTTTGCCCAGCTTGGGCAAGCACTTGATCAGCTGGGTGCACAGCCCATCAGCATCCGCCTCGTAGTGCTGTTTGGAAATGGAATTAAGGCTTGATACATGGCTTTAAAAGGCTTTTTCTCGCCATGACTTACCGCCACCAGCTGTCCCAGATTCTCAAAGTACTCCTCATCGTCAATGGTCAGCTTGTTCTCCAGATACTTGACCCGATAGTGCTCCACCTTGGTTTGGAAACAAACGCAGAGCGTATAGTCACCGGGAAAGTTTGTGGACTCGCGCACCAGGAACAATCCATCCTCCCTTGGCTGCAGGAGATGCTCTGCCTCGTCTCGCGTTATGCTGCCATGGAACCAGCTGAAGGAATACAAAATATATAGCAAAGAAATATCTAAAATATTAATTATTATTTTGACACTTACGGCATGGCATTTAGCTTGACCTCGCACCGCGAACGACCTTGCTGCGGCGCCATCGATGTGGGCGAGAGGGAGGCATGATTCATGGCTGTGGTAGAACCGCTGGACCACGCGCTATTGGCATTCACACCGCCCGTACCGCCACCAACACCTCCATTCATATCGAAGCTGTGCAGCGAGGTGGACATGCCCGCCGTTCCGCTGACCCCACCAACTGCCGCTGGCTGGGTTGCCTGTTGGCTGGGCTGCGTCGTCGTGTGCAGCAGCATATTGCTGCCATGCTGGCTGCCACTCAAGGCCAGGCTCTTTGGCGGCAGCGCCCGCTCGGCGCTATGTAGCGCCATTTGCGCCGCATTCAGGGAGGAGGACATCAAACCCGATCCGCTGGACCCACCGCAGTTGGCCAGCAGCTGGAGGTGCTGCTGCTGTTGCTGCTGGGCAACGGCGGCTACAGCGGCCGCGGTACCCGCCACTGGCTGTGATCCCGCTGAACCAGAGGGGGCTGTGGGTGCAGGCGCAAACGTGGATAGTATGCTGTGGGACACCTGCTGCTGCTGTTGTTGTTGGGTTGTCGTCTGCTGCTGCTGCTGCTGCGTCTGGCTGGGAGACTTGGGCGAATGATTGCTGGCGCTGCTGATTAAATTATGACTATTAAGCGCATGCGATGACAAATGCAAGGCGCTCGCCGCTCCCGCCTGGCTGGGATGCTGAAAGGAGAGGCAATGTCAACGTCGAGGGTTAGGCCAATTTAATAAATATATAAACATAGTATTTGAGGAGAGGGAGAGGAGCACCTACCACATTGCTCTCGCGATGATGGTGATGATGCGGCGGTATGCTGGGCGGCACAATATGCGGTTGCGACTGACTGAGCTGCTGTTGGTGCAGCAGCACAGCTCCCACCGCTGATCCCCCGCCGGCTGCCGATATGCCAGCTCCCGATCCCAAAACGGCGTTCGGCTGTGGCGCCGGCCGCTTGTTGTGCCGCAGCGGTGCAGTGGGCGGCATTTGGTGACCGGTGGTCTGCAGGAACCATGGATCGCCGGCTGTATTGCCCGTTGCAGCCGCAGCGGCCACCGTTACTGAGGGCTGCGAGAATCCGCGATGGTGTCCAACGACCGTGGTTTGTCCGTTTTGGGTGGCCGTCGCGTGGCTGTTCATCGCCGAGCCGGTCGTTAGGGCTTCTTTGGGTGGGGACGCCTTCCTCAATGGTCCTTGCTTGATCTCAACGGTGATCAGATCGCCCTCGCCGGAAACCTTACGTGAGAGGGGTTCCCGCTTCTCCTTCTCCTCCACCTGCTGCTGCTGCTTCTTTGCCCGGCTAGTCTCCTCCTTGGCTAGGGCTTCCTCGTCTGCAATAATAGAACATTGAGTGCGAACATTAGCTTTGTTCCATTTGATGATGTTATTTGCTGATATATTCAGGCCACAGCAAAAGCATCTAATCTTATCACACACACACACTTTCGTATTGACAATGTTATCTCCATTAATTATATTATTTATGCCCAATGCAATCAGTTGTTCAAATATGTAATGTATTTTATGGCAACTCACGTAATAATCGAAAAGATTGGATACAATAATTGCATAACTCGCGGTTTATTTATTTGTTTTTCTTTTATTTATATATGGAACTATGTGTAATTATCACAATAAATTAATATTATTCATATTTATAATCAAATTTTGCTTTCATGCGCTGTTTAGATAAGATTTCAAACATACTTCGTTTAGATAATCTCTTCAAATGCTATTTACTTCAAGATATTTTTTTTTTTTTTCATTAATACATTTCAATTCAAGACACAAATTATCAACTCATAATATTTATTTCTTCTACGATTATATTTAATTTCAAGACATATATTCAGACTTGACTTACATCTTACAAAGTTAGACAAATTCCTAACTTTTTTCTGCCTGAATATGATTATGAAAGCACTTCTTCTTAAGGTTGCTAATTCGAAACTAAATAAATCAACAGAATACATATATTTTTATTCAAATCTAGGAAAGCAAGAGATTGTGTCTGAACCATTAAATGTTGTATTTATGAAAAGGTTAATAGCTTTAGATTTTTTCCATGTTGTAGCCTCTATAATCAAAAAACTTCTATTATCTCTGCAAAGAAAAACCATAGAATGCTTCACACACAATCTCTTCGCTAGACCAGATTCCATTATACAAATTTCTTATGTCTCACCATCTTATGATTCTCTGATACAACCCATATGCATTTCCCCAATCCGAGCTTCGTTTCCCAAGATAGCCAAAGCTCTCGTGATCGAGTCTGGAGGCCAAACGCACGTTTATTTAATCAGTGAGTGAATCCATAAACTAGCTGCGATTGCATAAGCGACGACAACAGCTTTGGATGCGCAATGCTAATTGTTGGTCAACACACTCCACACTTCACTCCAGTGACTCAAATGGACACAAATGGCATGTTAATCGGGTGAATCGAGCGAATCCACTCGCCAAATGTAAAACATTTGCATGTGACAGGCATAATTAAATCCGTTTACTGCGCACTTTTTACGGGTTTGAGCTACTGTTTCCCTGGACACGATTACGAATTCGGGATGAGTCAGTTTTATATCGTTTTATATCTTTACACTAACAAAAAATATACTAAATATAGGTTCTAACATAGAAATTATATTTTTCCGACTTTATTTATTTGGTAATAAATTAAACTTTAACAATATTCTTTTGGTTTCGCTTTCAAAACTGAGCCATATGAAGTGGAAGAGTTTTAATAATTTATATTGTTGCTTTTTTCCTTGTACATTGCAGGCAAAGTGTGGAAGTAAGAGCGAGAGACCAGTCAAGAAGTTGTGCAAAGTATCTTTACCTCTCAAAAGAGCAAAGAGAAAAGAGCCGAACTGAGCTTACTTTTTTATTCCCTTTTTTTGTGGGTCCGAGGGCAAGTGGTCTTTTACAAACTCTTAGTAAAGCGTGACCCCTCTTGCGAACACGTATTATTATAAAGGCCGATAAACATGTTTAATAGATTACAAAATTAAACAATTTACTAAAGGTGTGAAAAACATAATATCATAGGCAAGAATCCAAATATTCAAGAACTTTTCGTTCAGTGTTCCCAGACACTCCCAAAAAAGGTAAATGCTCTACCAGGCCTTTTATCATACCCTCCTCTTGAACTTACTTTACTTGTAATTGTGCTGTTTTAGGCAGTGATGCCTCCATTTCCAGCAAGCTTAATTTCTTAATTTTATGCAAATTTCATTAGCGAATCTCGCTCGCTCTTGGCGGAAACGCTTTTTGCATATTAAATTCTCATTCTTGTCACAGTCATTGGGACGTGGATTTATCGTGGGAGTGGGAGTGAGTGGGCATTGTTTAAATTGCCACAGGTTGGCAGTGGAGAAGGAGGAGGGCACACGCAGGTCAGTTTACCGCTCTCGAAGGCCCGAAACCTTGCCCGTAAATTATTTGGAGCCACATCCGCCATACGCGAGGAACTGGAGTTTCGGTTATCTTTCTGGCCAAAATTGGCTTAGCATGACTGTTCGAATCCGAATCCGTTCGGCAATTGCATTCAGTCATACAATACATACAGTCATAGTCATGGCTTGGCTTCCTGTTCGCCGGACGAGAGCTGTCGGAACTTTGAAGTCACGCCCGCAGACAATAGTCTTAATATTTTTGTACTCGTCGTCGCTTCATTTTTCTGATTGTTCATGGAATTTAGCACTGTGCTTCGTAAAAGATAATTCGAACTTTTAGCCTTACACTAAAAGAACAAGTCTTCAGAGAACAATAGGCATAAACTATACTATTTTGAGAACTATCACTAACAAGCTTGAATATCAACCTTAGCTAAACGATTTATATTTGTAGTTTTTAAACAACTGAACAAATTGTGTTGTAAAAACTTACATAAACATCTTAGCTTTGCCTCTTAGGGAATTTTAAGTGCATACAAAAATTTAAACAAAGGGTGATCTGATTCGAGACACATCAAAGTCCATGGATTTCCTTTCCAGACTTGACCTTGACTCAGAGAGAGTCATAAGATTACCCTGGAGCCTTTCTCAGCCTGGAAATCTTCCTTAAGTCTGAGTCAGAGAATGAAAATACACAAAGATATAAGTGAGAATGTCATACAATCATGCTAACTCAGTATGCTCTGTTACAAAGCTAGCGATATCTTTACAAGACCAGGAAAATTGTTTTTTTTTAATAACAAGTTTTTAGATACACTCTTCTTTAATATAAATACAAATTTGCTAATTTTTAACAGCTCTTGAGTACACAGTTCTTACAGATGTTATATTTTAAGAATGTCAATTTTTAATCAGTGATCATTTATTTCTGATTTTTGTTTGCATATTCCTTAACAGGTTTATTGGTATCTTCTTTAATAAATTAAGCACCTCATTTATTGAGACCTCTCAGATACGATCAAAGATATATAAAAATAAAAGTATATTGCCTGGACAAATGCCGGTTATAGTCTTATGTAAAGAGGCAATGTGCCCACTCGAGCTGTCATCGCTGGGAGTGACTCGACTTACTGGCTGCCTTTGATTAGTCAGCGCCTGGTGACAGGCCAATTACTAAACACTTCCTTTCCCTCTCAACTGCGCCCCCCAGTGCTGCTTACCCTTGCATGTGCGTGCCAGGGAGTTATCGACAGGTATATTACCTCACTCACCTGTAGCTTTGGCAATGCAAATACATATCTATCAGCAAGCGCAAGTCTTGCGAAACCCTAAACAAAAACACCGCAAATAATTAATATCTAACACTAATAAAGTGTTTTGTTGGCCAAGAGGAATTAAAGAATGCCAAGCGCCACAGAAGCGAGACGAGCATAAACAACCATAGTTTTTGGAATTTGTAAACAAACAGGTAAATATAAAAGAAGGGTGTGGAGAAGACATACAGGTGAAACACGCTCCTCAAACACAAATCAACCGCTCTCAAGTGAATAAACAACAATTGTGTACCTGGCCAGCAGATGAGCAGCGATCTTTGTGTATTGTATTTACATATTGAAAATATAATAATAATCATAAAAAAAGGCACAAAGTTAATTTAACGACAACGAATTGCCCACCTGCCGGACATGAGTGCAAAAAGCGCTTCTAAAGGTTCGCCAAAAAGTGCAAACAATAAAACTGAATGATTCATTGGCAATTGGCAGGCGGCAGTTCAACGCACACACTGCGAGTACGTATAATTTTGCAATGCACTGTGGACTGTAGACTGGTTGTGGGTGTTGAGCAAAGTCAAATGAAATGCGCAGCAGTAATCCAACTGACTCTCGATGAGGTAATATTACTAATTAACCAAACCAGCGAATAACATGCACTGCGGAGGAAATTGTGTCAAATAGAATCAGCTTGGAGAATATTTTTCGGGGCTAAGCACATCTTGGCTTTATAAAGAATTTATTTGGATATTCGATACGGTTAATGTTAGGGAGCGGTATTTCCCTTTGAAAAGTCATATTTATAATGAAGGAGAGGCTATCTATAATTATAAGAAAAATTAAATGAATAAGTTATTTAAATCGTTCATGCACTTTATATTAATTTAAATAACTTATTTTCGCTGCCTGAGAACTTATTTCATTGTTTCCCAATTAGCAAAGTTTTTCATTGTCAGCTAATTTAAGCTCTGGATCGCCAAACAAATTATTCTTTTTATTATTCAAAACTCTTTGGTTCACAAAATGGTTTTATTCTCATCACACAATCGCCTAATTCAGTCTCTGGATTATCCCGGAAAGCTCTAGAATAATGTTATATGACTCTGGAGCAAATTGGGTAGAAGTGGCAGCAGCAGAGGAAGAGAGAGAAAACACAGTTCTACACCTATAGAGGTAACAAGTACGTGAGAATCTTTTGTATTGCTTCCTTATTGTGTGTGACTTAGTGCAGAACACACACACAGGCATACTCGGCAAAAAATAACAAAAGAAATGCAAATTGTGATGCCGAAGTTGCAGATACACTAGCAAGAATACTTATTTTATTTGCTTTATTCAAAATAATACTGCAATCTGCAATCTTTAATGATACCTCGATTAATTTATATTTTCGTATTGATATAGGTACTATTTGCCATTTTAAATATTTCTCCTTAAGAAATTTTTCACAGGAAATTTTATAAATTCATATCTCAGACGTTTTAAATTTTATTTGTTTTAAAATAATTCATATTTTATATACCCAAATAACTAACAAATGGCAAAAGTTTAATGATAACAAAAATCTAATCTTTTATTTAGAGAATGACTAAAATTTCCTTTGAATGAGCGGTTGAGTCAGATTCCTATGAAAACAATAGCAAGTTGGTATACCTCAAAATTATTATCTAAAGAAGGTTAGAAAAGCCTAACTAAAATAACCAAGTTTATAATATAAGTGTAATATTTCATCACCATTGCCTTTGCCAATTTTCTAGAATAATTGCACTGCCACACGGCGGGGTATAAACATAAACAAATACAGATATAGAGCAGCAGGAACTTGGGGGACTCTCCCACACTATTTTCACTCAGGTGTAGAGCAGATGAAATGGGTGGCGACAGGTAAATATAAATACACACAGCAGACAATCATTCCTGCACAAAGTCAGTCACAACAGTTGCCGGTGGCGGTGGGTTCCTGCTCCATTGTATTGTGCTGCCAGTTGGAAAGTGCAAGCCGAAAGAAAGGTAACCTTAGTCAGTCAGTCTGTCGCTGGGCTTGGCCAAAAGGGAACTGAGCAGGGAGGATTTGGAGCTAAACAAAAGCCATGAATGGAACAACGCTAGGTAGTGGTGCTGGTGGTGCTCCTCGTCATCGTGAATGGCGTGTGATGGCTGAAATTTGCATATCGCATGCAAGGCGATGAGCAGCAGGAAAACCGCAAGCAGGAAGAAGGAAGACACTGGGAAAACACTACACTTGGAACAGAGGGAACACAGAGGGGGGGCCATATTCAGACATTGCTACATGTACCTGCTAATTACACGGTTAGCTGCTTCATGTGGCTGACCCTGAGCAGAGGTGGTTGCTGGGTGGCCCAATAGATCCCTTCTCCTAATCTCAGCGGGTCTTGGCTGCCACTGGACACCACCGCTGGAGTCTTGTCGTTATTATTGGCCAACGGTTAGGCCAAAATCCAATACTCTGCTTCAATGTCAGCGAGCGGAAAGAGATTCGGTTGCCATGGAGCAGAGTAGAGTGGAGTGGAGTGAAACCCAATCTGCAGACCAACAGCTTGCAACATCAGGCCGCAACAATTCGGAGCAGGGCTGAGTGCATTTTTAAGGTTTGCTTAGAACTTAAAGCAAGTCTTATTGGATTGTAACTCAGGGTATATACCGTAGTCTTATCTATCACAGAATTTATAGATAAATAAATTAATTCTTTTATCTCTTTGTACTAACCGAACCACTCCTCGGTACTGGCGATGGGCGGCAGCGATTGGGACTCCTGTCCACGTTGCTTTGTCCTTTCCCGGGAATTCCCAGAGGTGGACTTTTCTTTGGTCTGTGGGGGCTCTGATTTGGTTTTTGCCGCCTGGAACTTACGATGGGCGCAGCGCAGGAAATTCAGCAGACGAGCATCAATGGGCGGGGCGGGCGACTGAGAAGATGCGACGGCACCAGAATTTGGCTTCGTGGGAGTGACCGACCGACCTTGAGACGGTGCATACTTGTCACAAAAGTAGAACTCCCGCCTGCGGGATGGTGCATAGGCAGCACTGAGGCTGCTGCAGAGCAGGATGGGCTTGCGACGCGCCCGGGCAATCACCTGCCCTCCACTGTGGGTGGCGTGTGTAATCCCCGCCTCCTTGTGGGTGACACTGCTAGCACTGCGCGATAGTCCTGATCCGCAGACTGATGCCGCAGCGGAACCCTCTCTACTCTGCTTGCACCAATATATATCCTTGCTGCCAAAGTAGTAGCGACGTCGGGTGTCCGCGGATCCTGATCCTGTGCCCCGATGACCCCGGCTCACCGCCGATCGATTAGATCGCTTGCTGGCACTGGCACTAGAGGTGGTCTGACTGCCGCTGCTCGTCTGGGAATTGTCGCTTTCGTTGTTCGAATTGGATGCCGATGCCGAGGATTTTAGTGCCCGTTCCGAGGCAGCAGATCCTGCTGCACCTGCGCCACTGGCAGGTGAGGGCATGAGGTACGTGTTGGACTGGATGAAAACGCCATCGCAGGTTATCTTAATTGTTGTCACCATGTTCCGGCATTGCGTTCACATTCGGTTTATAGTTCACGTTTAAAATGGATTTCCTTGCACTAAATATAAGTCTAGGCTTGGTTTTTGGTTGAGCAATGACCCCTAAGGCACTATATTCATAAAAAAATATTTCAGGGAAATTAAATTATATTCACAAAACCTTTTCTTTTTTAAATTTCTTATTTAAAACTCTAAAGTAAATGCCTTTTACTTAAGAAATCATGACTCTAATTATTTATCCCCGAAGCTAGACTTTCTAATTTTAATAGAAATGCATTATTTTGAGTAAGGCAAAGATAGTTGAACAAATACCATTGTTCCTGCACAGTAGCAGCAAAAAATCACCACCCCGCCCTCTTGATAGAACTGAAAACGAGGCTAATGCCCGGCTTCAAGTGGACAAAGCCCGGCAAATTGTTTTCGTTGGTAATAATACTAATTAAGGTTCTGTAAGCGGTTCGATTTGGTATCGGGCCAGCATCGAGAGTAGTTGCCACAATGGAACCAGTCAGAATCAATAGGGAAGCGACCGGGGCAAATAAAGGCGAACAAAAAGTGCAAATGGAAAATTTCTAAAGAGAAAATTCAAGCTAAAAAAAAAATAGACAAGAATGAAAGCCTGGCATAGAGAGATAGAAAAATAAAGAAAAACCAGAGGTAGTAGCAGAAATTGAATTTATTCCGAGAAGGGGATTTCCCGCCACAGTTCTTCACTAAATAATAACAACTCTTTGCCTTCGGTATATATATATTTATTTAATTTTTATACCCTTGCAGGGTATTATAATTTCAGTCAGAAGTTTGCAACGCAGTGAAGGAGACGTTTCCGACCCTATAAAGTATATATATTCTTGATCAGCATCAACAGCCGAGTCGATCTAGCCATGTCCGTCTGTCCGTCCGTCTGTCCGTCTGTCCGTCTGTCCGTCTGTCCGTTTCTACGCAAACTAGTCCCTCAGTTTTAAAGCTATCTGAATGAAACTTTGCATATAGTCTTCTATATACTCTCACTGCTATATATGTCGGAACGAGCCGGATCGGACGACTATATCATATAGCTGCCATACAAATGTTCGATAAATTTTTAGAAAAAAAATTATAACTTTGCTGTTTTTTTAAATTTTTGCACCATTTTTTAGATATGGCCATTTTATATTATTTCTGAATTTTGGTAAAAATTTTATGAAAATCGGACGACTATATCTTATAGCTGCCATAGAAACGATACAGAAAAATAATAGGAAAAAAATTATAACTTCGTTGTTTTTCAACGTATTTTCATCTACTCTAAGATATAAGCTTATTTTATTATTCTAAAATTTTGGTATAAATTTCATGAAAATCGGACAACTATATCATATAGCTGCCATAGGAGCGATCGGTAGATGTAGAGAAAATGTAAAGGTGTGAATGTAAAACTGTAACTGTCAAACTGTAAACATAATAAGTATAGGTAAAATGTAATGAAATAATATCTGCAAGGGTATACAAACTTCGGCGTGCCGAAGTTAGCTTCCTTTCTTGTTTCTGTTGGCATTCTTCAGCGAACCAATTCGCCACATTAACGGTTTGTCGTCAGTTGCCTACTGCTCTTGGCTTACTGAAATCGCCGACAATGAGCTTTGAGTGCTCCACAAACAGCGAAAAACGTTGGCTGGGCCAAAATCAGTTGTCTTTATTTCTCTCTGGGTTGGGAAAACACGAACGAGATGCCTGAATTGAATTGGAATTTACTGGGGAGCTCTCTGGAGCCACATATTGTGCAAATAATTTGGGCGTGGGAACCCAGCAGAGGATCAGGCAGAGAAAGACCTATTGTCTATTTTCTCGGTGGCAGGTGGAAAATGTTGGGAAAGTCAGAGGATGAAAAGATATATATATATAGTAGTTGGGAGCAAGATAAAGTCTTAATTATTTACCAAACCTTGGGAACATAAATTAACATGAAGATTTGGAAGTAGTGTGTTACTGGAGTTTTAGTAAATAAAATAAAATAGCTGCATGTTGCCTATATAATCACCCGTATTAAGTCAGTAAAATCTGAACTTCGGATTAAATTAGAAATAGAATAACGCCTTTTATAGGTTGCAACCTCCATAAATTTGTAGTCTAAAATTGAAGCATCTTTATTTTGCATTTAGATATTTATTCCCAATCATTGTTATCCATTGTCTCAATAAGAAATAAGGTAAACTTAAAATTCTTAGAGATTTAAACACAATAAAACATAAACAAAAAGAACATGGTATTAAAAACTGATGACTCATCAAAGCTTTATTTGTTTCTTTGATACTTAAACGTTCTTCGATCGTAAAAACTTAAAATGATAGGAAGTTATATAACTATTTTTTGCTGTTCTTCACGTATAATAAAAATATGCTCCAAAGCTATAACATTTTCCATAGTTTGTGAGTCAACTTTTTCTATTCTTTAACTATTTCTAAACTTTAAAAACAATAATTTCGAAATTAAAGACCTGGAAACCTTTCATTTGCAATCCCCCCACAACTCACTTTCTTTTGAGAGAGAACTTTCCTGGGCAAATGTCAACCGAAAATTAACTATGCAAATGAGCCGGAATTGGGCACGTGGAAAGTGATTGCTTATCATGACCCACAAAGGTGCTGGCGGGGCCAAAATGAAATTCTCTGAAGAAGAGTGGGAAAAGCGTTCGGTTGCGCACCCAAAAGAAACGACAAAAAAACTAATTAAATAAAACAATAACAGAATTATGTATGACACAACGAGTTTGAGTTTGAGTTTCTGTAGCGGCCGCTGACGAAATGCCATAAAAAAAGTAAAAAAAAAAAAAACCAAAACAAAATCACAAAATAAAAGCCAAAAATCTACGCTCGCTGAAACAAAGTGGGCAATAATAAGAAGAGACAATCAGAAAAGCCAAACAAAACAAGAAAAGAGCTAAAGACAATAGGCCGGGTTTTCAGTGAGCTTTTGCTGCAGCTGGTCCGGATATCCTCGGGATGGGTGGGTCTCGGTTCGGTTTCGAGCACGGGTTCGGTTGGTTTCGGATCGCATTGGATCGGTTTGATTGCCGCCGGCGGCGTTACCTGTTGCATATATCATTTTGGCAAAAAGCGGCAGCAGCGTCGGGTGAAAGTTTCCCAAAAATACCCTGCCCCGAAACGGTAACCGTAACTCGAACAAAAAATGCCCAAATTGACAGCAATTTATGTTAGACAAAGAGCATTTAGCATTCGCCATTGCGAGGTCTTAATTAATAATTTAAGTTTTACAATTAATTCAACGTGCCAGGCACGCATTAAAAGAAAATGAAGAGAGTCCAACAAGCCGAGTCCGAGTGAAAAATGAAATGCGCCATTGGCTTTGACCAGGTGGAAGAAGGAAGGGGCCAAGTTGGTATGTTGGTAACTTGGCAACTTGGATCTCGGAGGGTTTCTCAGCTCGTCTTCACTTATGTGCAGTGAATGGCAAATTGAATAAGTGGATGGAAAACACATAAAAGTCGTGTACAGAGCCAAGAAAAACATACAAAATTGTTTCACGCGTCTGCAGTTGAAGTTGAAGTCTTTTTCCCCCTCTTTTTTTTTTTTTGTCCACTTTCACTCGGTCCAGCCAACAGCTTAGCTTGGAGATATAAATTTCAGCCAAGACTGGGACTCGGACTCGCTCAGGATGACGTTTCGCGCGGATTGGTTTCCCATTGAGAGTCGCGTTGGCGAAAACTAGTTACAGTTTAAGGCTCCGGTTTTTTGTTGGCCGATTAGAGCGGCGATGACTAATGCGCTGGAAAATTGAAAATGCCTTTTCGCCGCTCGACACGCCAGCCAGCTAGCCAGCCTACAATGTCTCGCAGTTTTCCTGTTTTTATTTTGTCAAAGTCGAATGTCTGCACGTCGCCAAAATTAGCGTCCAAATCGATTGGCAAGAGAGGGGTCTTAAGCCGGAGTGATTCATGCAATTTTGGGATCAGCCGCGGTTCGTAGCCTTAAGCCTGGCATCAGATTAAAATGTGCAGTTAGAGAGCGAGAAGAATGGAAGAATGGCGAAGAAATTGCAGTAATGGTTGGGCAGAAAGGGGAGAATTCAATTTACACAGAGACCTGGGAAAACAATTAGCACTGTGTGATTGAAGTTTACTCTGGGGAAAACCTCCTGGCAGTTGCAGAAAAGTGAGGGGAGAGATTGGAGTCAATACTAAGCCAAGTTACTTTCATTTGAGACTTTCAAACTATCAAATTTGCAGTAGCGATCATCTTCAGGGGAACGGAGCACACGCAAAAAAATAAAGATACTCCGAAATGGTAAATTACCAAATAGGGTATTGCCTCTTGCCAATTAGATGGTTTTTATAAAAATGGTATTAATTAAATTCCACTTTTTTGGATAGTTGATTACTACAACTTGAACCACTTAAAGTTGAATATTAATACTTTATTTGAATTATGAAGACAGTTTTGTATTTGAGATTTAAAGATGTTTCCTTTATAAGCTTTTTCATTATCCTCATTGTGTCACTCATAAGAATATCTGTGGTTTAGGAGCAAAAATCTTCTCGTAAAGGATGGCAGAAACTTGGATTCGCCATAATCTTCACTCTATTAATTAATAATTTAAAATTTCAGTACAATTTCTTAGATTTCCTTAAACTATATCTACAAAAAAATAGGCCGAAAGTATACCCTAAATAACAAATATATTTAACCCCATATTCAATTTCCTCCGTGCATGCCTTCAGCAATATTTCGAAATTAATCACGGACACACATTCAAACACTGATTGCTGCTAATGCCCCATACATCTGACCCAAACCCATAATTAAACGGACGTATCCCCGACATGGCGAACAAATCAAAAAGCCGAAGCACACAAAGGTCATTGCGCCACCAAAGCCAAAAACCAAATCCAAATATCTCTCATAAATGTAGAAATAGAGATCTTGAATCCATCATCCACTGGAAGCCACAGGAAGCTTATATTTTCGCACTCCTCTCTTTTGTTTCACTTTCTTCGCGCTTTTACAGTGTATTTATTGTGTGATAATTTGCATAAATCGCTTCCTTCGGGGCGTCCCATAAAATGTATTCCCGCTTGTATAATTAATTATTACAATAGCGAAAATATCAACAATTCGAATTCGCACGTTACATCACGAGGGGCAGCAGCAACGTCTGCCTTTTGTGTTTTGCACTGAATGGATTATTATTGGGCGGCGGCCACTTTGCATACCACCGACCGTCATAATTTATCGTTATTATGTATATATATTGCAGAAAGCCAATTGCAATCGATTGAACAACAAACAATACACGCGATTCGAAGATCTGCGCATGCGTGGCTACCGATTTTATTATTATTTTTCTCGATTTTCGTGCGACCGCGCGCCTCGCCTGCAAGTTTTCAACTGAAAATCGCTGCACGAACTTGCCGCTCTACCTGACTCAGGTTACCTGAGTCATGAAAGCAAAAAAAAAACCAAACCAAAACCTCGGAGCTTGAGAGAGCGTTTTTTTAAGCTCCACTTTTCTTGTGTGTTTGTGAGCCGGCTTCTTCTCTGGGGCTGGGCTTTATCGCATGCGATAAAATCCAGGGGGTAGCATGCAATTTCTCACCTGCTGCTGCTGCATTGATGGCTCCCGGCGATTCGATTTGCCTTTTGAAAGCTTGTGGCGGTGTAAATAAAATCAAAACTATGTGTGTTGGCCAACTCATTAGACCAATTTTGGCATTTCAAGTCTTTGCTGCGGTCTTGCTTTTAGCCTGGCCAAAAGTAAGTCACAATGCGGTAGCCAATTTTACACGGAAAACTAAGTTATAAACTTTTATCAAACTCTCTTCGTCATATAAGATGAAATACCCAACGCTTGGCTTGGGCTATCAGTAGATTGTTCATTAATGAACGTAAGCAATTTTAATAATAATTGACAACCTTTTTCAAAGGTTATCTCAAGAAATATATAATATATTTTATCACATTTATCACATATTTTTCATCAGTGTATCTAGTGTCATCGAATGAGTCCAAAGTTTTTGAAACACAGACGCTCCAATATCACTGACTGTAGCTTGTCGCTTGGATCGATTTCCTTTCTGTTTCGTTTATTTGGTCTAATTGCTGCCGCTGGCCATATTAATTAATTTCTCCATTGTGTCGGTTCCACCTCATCCCCCTTGTCTGATTTTTTTTTTCGGGTTTTGCATGTTTACTTTTCGTCTCAATTTCCAGGCTGCAATTTGTTGCCGCTGTCGAATCCAGTTGTTTGCAAAAATGTAGACATCAAAATGTTTATTATTTCTTTCTTTCTTGCAGCTTGCAGTTGTGCACACCACAGCAGTTCGTGATTTTCTTCGCTTTTTCTTCTCTGTGGCATTTTTTGCATACTTTGCCGAGCCAATTAGCATCAAAGTGAAGTCTGTAATTGTGAATAGAGAAAAGCAGCCAGTAGGAGTTTTCCTGACGTCACCAGTACCAGTATCATTAGTTCTCCTGGTGTGGAATTCGCACTGTAAATACATCCACTAGCAAGTAGATCAAAGAGAGGGCTACCATGTGTGCTAAAAATACCCGCAAAGAAACATAAACAAACAAAAAACGGGGAAAGAAGCTCAAATTTGCTAAGAAATTATTTGCGGAGCAGCGAAAAATGAGAGCAGCAAAAAATGTTAAGAATGCCAAACACATATCATTTACGAACCAGTTATTCTAGATAACAGATATCACTAAAGGCTTAAAACGATAAACCAGATTCCATTTTGTCATATCCCCTGCCGTTGTTAAGAAGTTTTCATTTCGTACAGCCTGTTTCTTGTTGGATTAAAAAATCAGGTAAAATAAATAAGATAAGAAGTGGTCCAAAGCAAACTGAGGAAATACTCCTTCAAAGATTGAAGAATGCAGTCAGAAATACAGATTTTATTATCCCTTATTTAAATATTTTAATGGTGAAATCCTCAACAATATCTTTAATTTTTGTTTCAAAAAAAAAATTGTTCTACAAAATCAATAAATACTAATTATTAACTGTTTTACAAACACATTCATGGATTCAAAGCAGCTTAATAACGGTGTATTGCCCATCAGAAAAGCTTGCAATTACTAATTCCAATTAGCATTCCAATCAGTCCAACCAGACCACGAGTCGTACAGTGGGCATGCAAGGGCGTAATTAGCACAATTGAAAATGACAGATACACTGATGCTTGCTCGCTATAAACGTGATGCCAAACAGTGAGCGCCAAAAGTAAGTCCAACTCGGAACGCGAAGCTCAAACCAATGTGAAAAGTTCACGCAATACTGACCTCACATACACACAGACGGAAAAAAAGAAGCAAACTTACGCACACTGATACAGTTGGAGTATAACGCCCACGCATGTTGCAATATACAAACAAACAAACAAACGGGATACAGAGAGCCAACCAGAGAGAGAGATGTGGGGGAGGGTGAGAGGGAGCTTTGTGGCGCCTACGTGTGACGTCAGCGCACGAATATTTTGCCGACGACGCAAAATGCTGACCAAAAACAACTACGAACTACTACGAACGGAAATCCATAACAAAAACTACGATGCGCCACGCTTCGGTTATTGCCTTTAATTACTACTGTGGTCGTTGTTGTTGTTGTTCGGCGCTGCTGCTGCATGCTTTTTTGTTGTTGTTGTACGCATTGGTCATTCATGGCCCGTTTGTGTATATGTATACGTATGTTAGGCTTAAGCCGTGTGTGTATGTGTGAGTTCGCTATTCAAAAAGCCACAACAACAATTTCGCGCCGCAGAGTTGTAAAACGTGTTTTTGTTTTCGCTTTGAATTGGAACCCAAAATGCGTAGTTTTTTGTGCTGTTTTATTGTTATTATTTTTTATTTTGTTCGTTATTGTATTTTTGCTTTCGTTTTTTATGAAGCAAACTAGTTGACCTCAGACAACAGCGATAAAAATTCAAATATAAAGAAGCTGCAAATATAGTGACCCAAAAAAGGAAAACAAATACACTTTGCAAAACATACACGGGACAAGCAAGATACAGTGAGGCTTATGATATAAAATGGATATTCATTTAGAATTAAAACAATTTAAACATCAGTTGAGACTTTTAATTCCTATGTCCTGTAAAATGTATAAGGTATCCCAAAGCCAGGAATTCATAAAATTCCAAACGACTATTTCTCAAATTTCTTATCAAGATTAAGATTTACCAAAGTATATATTTCATTAAGAATTGGGTTTAGTAAAATTTATTACCATATCAAAAATTATAACATGTATTCCCAATACTCTTACGCTTATAGTTTTTCTCCACGCATAGTTAACCGTTACAACAGTTATAACGGAGAGTGTACTGTATACTTTTTTTTCTTGCAGCTGCCAAATTTTGTTTGTATTTATATTTATCATCTTAATGATGAGGCAAAGATTTATGCAATAATATTTGTTTGATTTTTGTTTTTGTTTTCTGTCTTTTTTGAGGTGGATTATGCAAAGGTATTTTCGAGATGTTTTCTTTATTTTTAGCTACACTTTATGGACACAATTGTGTTATCCTTTTTCCGCAAACTTTCGTCACTTTCACACCCACACACATACGCACACTCACAAACACAGCGACAAGTGTATTAAGGATGCAGACAGCGCGACGCTGCAAAAAAAAGGGCGTTGGGCGGAGTCCTTGAGTTCGGCTTTCAAAAAACATTTAAAGCAAACTCTTAAAGTAAAACCCAAAATGCTTACCCAAATTTTTGAGATGTTTTCCTGCGTTTTTTAGCTATTGTTATTATTTTTTGTTGTGCTGCTTTGTTGGCCTCTCTGCTGATGTTTTTGTTGTTGTTGCTGCTGCTGGCTGGTGCTCTCCGTTAACATTCCAATCCGACGCTGCCGTCCCGTCGCTGCTGACGTCGCTGTCGCTGCTAACGTCGCATTAGCCACATGCACATTTCATTTGAATTATCACGCATATATAATACGGTGTATAATATATTTATAAACATTTGCACCACCTTTCCGTTTTGGTGCCTCCTTCCATACACACACACACGTAAACACTTGCACAAGCACTAGCACTCACACACACGCACACCTACTGACCAACAACTGGCTGCTGGTTTTGTGGAATTTTCGATTCTATTCTCCGGATCTTCGGCCGTCCTCCGTTCCAACTTATGCATATCCGCACTTGCATTCGTTTCAGTTTAGCCCGAGCATGGCGTTCGGTTCGATCAATCAGTCCGCAGCACGGGCGATATTAATTTAAACAAAAAATTCACACGAGAGCAGAGCAAGATGGCCGCATCTTGGGCTAGTGTTGTGCAACTCTTGATTGTTGGTGTGACCAGACTGGAGAGTGGCGGGAATGCCTTTTATAGCTAGGTTTGGACATTTATTTAAATAATTATTTATACATGTCTAATAGCAGAATTTCAGCGTTAAAAAGCTTTCAATTTTCTTAAACTACTTAAATTAATCTACCAATTAGTCTGATGTTTTTTAGATATTTCTTTAGTATTTGCAAGGAATGCATTTGTTTATTTTGGCTCATTCGAAAGCTCCGGTCACACAGTTCCACACGTGCAATATTTACGAAATATGCGCAATTTGAAGCTTCAATATTGCCAGGAGCTGGAGACAGCGGTGGCCCAGCCCCGCCAGCTCCTCCTGCAGCCGGAACTAAATGGCGACGCCTCCGACACGGCCTTCCTGGTGACCGACAGCAAGATCTACGCCGTGCAGGGGTCCGGCGATGTGCGGTCCAAAGTGATTGCCGATTTGCCGGACATTGTGGGCGCCGAGTTCCTGCAGCTGGACAATGCGATCTGTGTGGCCAGCGGCGCCGGCGAGGTTCTGCTGATCGATCCCCAGACGGGAGCCACCAACGAGGGCACCTACTGTGAAGTAGGGATCGAGCGCATGGCCTGGTCACCCAACCAGGAGGTTGTGGCCTTTGTGACCCGCACTCACAACGTCGTGCTGATGACCAGCACCTTCGATGTGATAGCCGAGCAGCCGCTGAACGCGGATCTGGCCCCGGATCAGCAGTTTGTCAACGTGGGATGGGGCAAGAAGGAGACACAGTTTCACGGTTCGGAGGGAAAGCAAGCTGCTAAGCAGGCGGCAGGAACTACTGACACCACTAATCAAGACTGGCAGGAGCTAAACCAGGTAAAAGGAATTAATAATCCCAATTTTCCTTTGTTTAATTGTAATATTTACCTCGCAGGACATCCACATTTCCTGGCGCGGCGATGGCGCCCACTTTGTGGTCTCCTACGTGGCCGCCCAGGTGGGTCGTACCTTCAAGGTATACGACTGCGAGGGAAAACTTCAGCACACGGCCGAAAGGTGTGCAAATCTGCAGGAAGTAGTGGCCTGGCGACCAGCAGGCAACTGGATTGCCCTGCCCCAGAGATTCCCCAACAAGTCCACGATAGCGCTCTTCGAGAAGAATGGCTTGAGGCATAGGGAGCTGGTTCTACCCTTCGATCTGCAAGAGGAGCCTGTGGTACAGCTTCGTTGGAGCGAGGATTCAGATATTCTGGCCATCAGGACAGCTACCAAGGAGGAGCAGCGAGTTTATCTGTACACGATAGGCAACTACCACTGGTACTTAAAGCAGGTGTTGATCTTCGACCAAGTGGATCCCCTGGCGCTGCTTCATTGGGACACGCGCATGGGAGCTGAGCACACATTGCACCTGGTCAAGGAAAGTGGAAAGCAACTGGTTTACTGCTGGGCCTTTGCTGTGGATCGCTACGAGCGCAGTGGCGTCGTGGGCGTCATCGATGGCAAGCGTCTGCTGTTGACGGACTTTGCCAGGGCGGTAGTGCCACCGCCCATGTGCCAGCGCGTCCTACAGCTCGAGAATTACATCAATGCCTTTACCTGGTACGAGACCAGCCTGTGTGTTTATACTTGCGATCGTAAGCTGCACTTCTACGAGCCCATGCAGCAGTTGAGCGGCCAGGAACCACGGGCCAGCTTACTTATGCCGGATGCCGAGCTCTCGCGCCTGCCTCTGGCAAATCTCACGTACTTCAACTGTGATTACCTGCTGGCCACGTACAGCACGGGAGGATCTACGCGGCTGCTGCTTTTGAACAAGGAGCCCGATGAAGATGAGGTCAATGATCAGGGCGAGCTCTGCTACCGGGTGCAGTGTTCCCTAAGAATCAGTGGGTTGGTCAATGCCTTGTCTGTGGGAGCCAATGCCATGGATGAGTTCTATGTGCAGACGGTAAATAATGGTCACACCTACGAGGTGTTTCTCAAGACGGACAACACTTTGAAGGTGGAGCGAACGCATGTGCAGTTGGCCCAGGCAGCTGACCAGATCGAGTGGTTCACCATCAACAGTGACTCTACAGGTGGGTTCTAGTTGGGTTTTTACAAATTTCTTTTTTAATATTTTACCTCTATTTCCAGGTGGTCTCATTACTCTACGGAACCAACAGCTGCTCCACCTGGACGGTCATCGCATTGCCGAAGACGTCACCTCATTCTGCGTGGTGGGCAACTATCTGGCCTACACCCAGCTTAATGCCTTGCACTTTGTCCGACTGAAGGATCGCCGCCAAGTGGCCAGCAGGAACATAGAGCGTGGCGGCAAGCTGGTAACCGCGGTGGCCACTGAGGCGCGAGTGGTTCTCCAACTTCCGCGCGGAAATCTCGAAGCCATCTGCCCTCGCGTGCTCGTACTGGAGCTGGTTGGTGCCCTGCTTGCTAGGAAGCAATACCAGGCGGCGATGCAGATGCTGCGGAAGCAGCGCATCAACCTAAACATTATGTGGGATCACAACGTAGAGCTTTTTATAGCTTCGGTGGACGTCTTCCTGCGAGAGATAAAACAGAGCCAGTGGCTCTGTCTTTTCCTAAGTGAACTGCAGAACGAAGATTTCTCAAAGGGCATGTACTCCAGCAACTACGAGGCTGCCAAGCAGACCTATCCCGCAGACTATCGGGTGGAGGAGAAGGTGGAATATGTGTGCCGGCTGCTGTGCCAACGCATGGAGCAAGCCACCCGGCCAGAAGATGTTGAACGCTTCCGCCTGCCTGTGATCACAGCTTATGTGAAGTTGGGTCGCCTAGAGCAGGCCTTACAGCTCATCTGGCAGGAGAAGCAGACGGATGCAGCACTGGCAGATCAGCTGCTGAAGTACCTTTTGTATCTAGTGGATGTGAATGATTTGTACAACGTTGCTCTAGGTACCTACGACTTTGGTTTGGTCTTGTTTGTGGCCCAAAAATCGCAAAAGGATCCGAAGGAATTTCTGCCCTATCTCAATGAGCTAAAAGCTCTGCCCACGGACTATCGCAAGTTCCGGATTGATGATCACCTCAAGAGATATACCTCGGCCCTGTCCCATCTGGCTGCTTGCGGGGAGCAGCACTACGAGGAGGCTCTGGAGTTTATCAGGAAGCATGGTCTGTACACAGCTGGCTTGTCCTGCTATCGGGAGCACGAGGAGTTCCACAAGCGCGTCTGCGTGGCCTATGCAGATCACCTCAGGGCCAATGCCAAGCTGGATAATGCCAGTTTGATGTACGAGCGTGGAGGACAACTCCAGCAGGCGCTGCTCAGTGCCAAGCACACTTTAGACTGGCAGCGTGTCCTAGTGCTGGCCAAAAAGCTGGAGGAGCCTCTGGATCAGGTGGCTCTGTCACTAGTGGGACCTCTACAGCAGCAGGGACGACACATGGAAGCCTATGAGTTGGTTAAGGAGCATGGTGGAGACCGGAACAGGCAGTTGGAGGTACTGCTAGAGGGTCATCTGTACGGCAGGGCCATCTACGAAGCCGGTCTGGAGCAGGGAGATGCTTTGGGTGAGGAGTCTCTAGAAGGTTTTCATTTTTTGTATTCATTAGCTTAATTTTTTCTCGTTTTTTTAGTGGAGAAAATTGCTCCCGCTCTGTTGGCCTACGGAGCCCAGTTACAGGGCTCCTTGCAAGCTGATCATAAACTCTTCCTGGAGTACAAGCAACGCTTGCTGGACATTCGCCAAAGGCAAGCCTCTTCAGGAGATGCGGACAACGATGGGGACTTGGACATCGAGGAGGTGGATCTTCTGTCGGACACAACCAGTCTGCACTCCTCACGCTACAGCGGCACCTCTCGTGGCACCGGGTGAGTTAAGACCTGGACCTGCTCCACTGCACTCTAGCCAGAGTTTCACTTTATAACTCCCTGTCTATAACTCCCTCCTTGTAGCAAGACATTCCGCTCCAGCAAAAACCGACGTAAGCACGAACGCAAGCTGCTCAGTTTGAAGCCGGGCAACCCCTTCGAAGACATTGCGCTCATTGATGCGCTGCACAACCACGTCACGAAGATTGCCCAGCAGCAGCAGCCTGTGCGTGACACATGCAAAGCGCTGCTCCAGCTGGGCGGCAGCGGAGCACCTGTGGATGGCGATTCCCTGGCGGCGTCACTGCAGCGTGAATTTAAGACGCTGCTGAAGACGGTAGAGGAGTCGCTGGACGAGATCTGGACGCCGGAGCTGGTGAGCAATGGATCGGTGGCGCAGCATCTAACGGGACCCAATGTGGACTACTTGGCGCTGCAAAAGGAGCAGCGCTATGCCTTGATAAGTGAGTGTTAATTAATTCCTTCCCTTAAATTAAGGCTCTAACGGAGATGCTTTCAGGTCCCCTGAAGCGCTTCAAGCCGCAGCTAAATCTGATCGACTGGCAGCACGAGATCCTCCAGTGAGTCATCGTTTTATTTGCGTGTGGCTGGTCGCCCCCCCCCAATCCTCCCCCAATATCCGCACCCATCTAAGCTTTACTTTCACTGCTCTGGAAATAAATGTAGCATTGAAATGCTAATTGAATGTATCGAAATTAAACAAAAAACCAACCGCTTGCAGTGGGCAGATGACTGATGAGTGCCAGTCCAGTGCCAGGCAGCTGGCAAAAGTGGGCGGCACGACATGGGGCTCTTCCCCCAAAACTCATGTTCGATTCGGAACTATCACTTTTTTTTTATTGGGGGCGTCGTCTCTTAAATATCATTTATAATCGCTGCCGCCTGTGAGCAGCAACGCCCTTAATATATATTTCCTTTTTTGAGAAAAACAAACATTTTGCCTGATATGATTTCCTGTTGCTGTTGCGCCGCTGCAGTGAAGCGTTTTGTTTGCCAAACAAAAACCGTAGAGGCGGAGGCAACCACCGGAGAAGGTTGGAACCGGTTTCACCTGCCGGGATTTGTGTTGTGGGCGCCCATTGTTGCCAGGTAGCCGCTAGTTGTGGTGGGAACAGTGGGGACGAAATGTTCTCGAGGAGTATTCCTTTCTATTTTCTATAATTATAGATGATTTTATTTAATTATTTGATGATAAAATTATACAAGACTTATCACCTAATAAGAGAAAGTCTGCTATAAATAATAAAAATAAAAATAACAGGGCCAAGAATAATCACTTTACTTTTAATATCCATTCATAATCTTGTGACTATTCATCTACTTAGCATACTCTTCTGTCTTGCTAAAGGTTCTGAACCCTCAACATGCAATCTCAACAGAGTAATAGCCCTACTTCAGTTACAATTAAATTTAATTAACTACTTTTAACCATCATTTCCCGATTAACAGTGCAAAAATGTGCACTTGCATTCTTCTGTTAGCGCTCTGTAAAGAAATAGCTTTCGAGCATGCGCACTGTGGGCCCGACGACTACTTTTTTGACGGAACCACTTTTTTTTTAAGTCGTAACAGTCCGTCATATTTACACAACAAATTTGTTTTTGAAATTAAAAAAAAAAAAGTCCATTTGAAATAAAATTTTAATCACAGTTTTTAGATAATTTTATAAATGTGTGGCTTAATTAAAATATATGCAAATTTTAAAAAACATTTCGTTCAATCATTTTAATTTAAATTTTATTTACAGAAAAAATATAGATTTAATATAAAAATTATGAGACTTAAAAAAAATTTTCGCTGCTAGTTGAACGATTTTACCCACGGTGCTCTGCAGCGTTCTCTTATTCTGCCAGTCAGTGCTGCCAACTTAGCTTATTTCTGGGCAGATCTAGCACTTTTTCATGATTATATATGATATATTAATAAAATAAATAAATATTTAAAAAATATGCCTTATTTATCTAGCTTATTTTAATTTAATTTCGTTTTAATTCAGCTCAGTATATAGCTTAAACGGTCATCACTGGCAAACCTGCCGCTGCCACCGTCGCTGTCGCCGCGAGCAGCCACAGTGGATCCAAAGTCGTACGTATACGTTATTTTCGAAACCATCGTCGAACGAGGCGGACGTGTTGCTGGATGCTGGCGCTCGCGTTGCGGTATTCCGTTTTTTTCGAATAAACAAACACACAAAAAATTGTTAACACAATTTTGTTGGTTCTATTGTGCGGAAATCGAGTGAGAGGGGAAATAAACAGAAACCGCAAGCAAAAGCAACAACCTGGCGCGTCTTTGTGTGTGCCTGTGTGGAGAGGAAAACGAAAGGGGAGCAGAGTGTAAATAATACAAGTGCGTGTGTGTATGTGAGAGAAATATGGAAATTGAAAATGCAATTAATTGCAAATTAATGTCAAGCCATAGAAATCGCTCAATTGTTTAAAAAGTGCAAGAGAAAAGTGTCGTTTTGTTGTTGTTTATGTCAACGCGGAAGCTAAAAGTCTGTCGTGAAAAGTCTACGTATATCTTTATTTTTGCAACAACAATAAGCCATCGAGAAAAGTGCTGAAATCGTCAATTTCAAATCGGAGCTGCCGAGAAGTCTATACTATATAAAAATAAAAACAATTTTTGGTAAGTCTAGCTCTAGGCCTCTCTCTCGCTCGTTCTCCCCAAAAGCTTCCCAGATCAGATCGCCTCTCCACTCTCCGTTCTCCACTAATAAAGCCCGCTCTCTTGCGGACAGTGGAGCTCAGCGGTCAAACTCGCAAAACGACTTTCAACATCATTCGTGGGGTCTCCTTGTTGTTGTTTTTGGATTTTCCACTTCTGACTTGCTGCCTGTTTTTTTGACGCTTTTTTTTATTTAATTACGCTTTTGTTGTTGACGCTTTAAAATAATTCGTATTTGCTTTTTGTGTGCGCCAGAAAACATCACACTAACTATGGATATTTTTTTGCTCATGTGGAAACGCCAGCAATTATTTGATTAAAAATGTCATAATATTTGTAACTTGCGAAACGTGGGCCATTTTGCGAAAAATTGTTTTTTTTTTAACATGTTGTTGAACATGTTGCTATAGGAATTTGTTTTCTAGAAACATGCTAAGCAACACAGATCTTAAATATCTGTAAAGCCAGTTTTATTCTAGAAAAATATTAAATTACCCAATTAACGCCAGAAAAAATAAAGCTTCCGTTACCTAATATTAAATGCGTTTAAAAAAATGAATTTAGCACGTTCAACGCCTGCAGTTTGGATATACAAAAAAATAAATAGCACTACTTAACGACCCACTTCAATGCCAATGGCATAACTCTCAAGAAACTCGGGTTTCAATCTTCTCGCCACCTGTAAATCACCTGCAATCAGCTGCAGTCGCCAGCGATGCGTTAACGAGAGACCTCAAAGCTAAGCGATCCATTCAGAGGCGGCTTCAAAAGAATCTCCGTTCCCAGTCCTCAGTCCCCATCATCTCCATTCAGCATCGAAAGCTGCCGGCGAAGGCCGCCGCCGCACAGCCAGCAATTTAATTAGAGGTTAGTTACCAAGAGACGACGCCGCCAGAGCCCAACAATTGTTGCAACTGCAACCACAGAACAAATGCCTTGCAGAATGCATTATGCATGTGCGAACGGCCAGCATAAATCGGCGGCTTAATGGGCCCGGGCTAATAGAGAAGCGTTTTGAATGCCAAATGAGTCGAGTCGACGGGGATGACGAAACATAAGTCATTTCGAAACCAAGGAGGGGCGCCGGCACACTTATTACCTGAGTTGGTCATAAAATTGTTATTTTTATAAACCGGTACTTGTAAACTAGGAATAAGGATCTATACCTTCAAGATATATTTATTATCTTCCATTATTAAATACCTCATAAATTTCCCATTCAAATATTTCTTTACCATAATGTTTCTTTCTCTGCACGGCTCTTGTGGAATGTGGTTGCCGAGAATCGGGGAAACCGGTCTCCTGCCGGCTGTGTTGCCCTATTGGATTGGCCTGGCTTGGCCCGAACAGAGCTGAGCTGATAGCGAAGGTCTTCGAGGTCTCTCGAAGAGAGGAGGTACAATGAGTCACGTTCGAAGCCAGCTCTGATCGCGGCGAGACGTGCCTGCTCGTCTTCGAGGGGTTTGGGATTTGAGAATAGAGAACGGAGCAACCCAATATAGTTGCATATTTGCCGACGCTGCGATAATGAAAAGTTTCTAAGAAAACGAGGAGAATTCCGATTGACAGAGGAAATCCCCGGTCTTGAGTTTCTGGCACGTAATTCTGGGATCTGCCTCTTGGCTCTTATCACTTGTTTATTCCAACCTTTAAAGGCTTGATGATCAGCAACCGATGATGAAGAATATATAAATAATATTTACAAGCATTTTATTTATAGATTAAGTAGAACAAGTAGCCCCTTAATGAGTTGGAATTACTAGAATTCCTTTTAAAGATAATTATAAATTTATATGAACCAGATTTCTTAGATTTCTTTGACTTGCATCTTAATATAACTGAAGCTAGAAGAAGTACCATACATCTTCGATCTGGAGTTCCCGCTCCACTTTCTCGGTCTGGCGGCCCCAATGCATCTGAGTGGTAATTGCCTGCCTTTATGACTAAAAATCTGTCATTAAGGCTATACTGCAGTTTAGTAGGTAACACACCTGAATCATCATCACCTCCTCTCTTCCGCATTCCCCATAAGGCATTAAGTATTTTGCATTCACCTCAAGAGAAAAAAAACAGAGAGAATCCAACAGACGACTTGCCATGCACAACCCGGAGACCTGACCTATGAGCTTTGTCTTTAGTCAGTATTTAGTCTTTCCTCGTTCTCCGCTCTTCTGTGTGTTTCTTTGTTTGTTTCTTCCATTGTTTCTCCACCATATTCCGTTTATCTTGCTTTTGGGGCCAACAGCAGCAGTTTTGTTTCGATTTGTGCGGTTTTATTTTTGGACCTACCTTGGAAACTTGTTCTCGCTCTGGCCGGAGAATGGAAAATGATCCGAGTTTTTCGCAAAAATACAAACAAAGAGCTAAAGAATTACCAATCGAGTACCGCTATAACCTCGATTACCTGATGTGGGCGTCAAATTAAATTACTCAATCGAAAGGTCTTTTGACTTTTGGCTTTTCTCTTCACTTTCCACCCACTTGAGCCGGCTTAATTAAATTAAAAACTTTAATTGTTCTGTTGACAGGTAGACATAATAAATGTCAATGAACTAGCTTTTAGCTTATAGAAATTCGGCTGAAAATCATAATCTTGTTGATGTTTCGCCTTTGCTCTCAATTACAGTACAGACATTGTAATATTAATTCAATTCTAGACACTTGTCAGGGGAACGAACAATCGCCAAACACTTGGCACTGATTGAACTTAATTGAATTAAGAGCAGTTTGCCAGTTACATCTTCTTCACTTGGGTCACTCGTGCAGGAAGTTAGCCTCGTGTTGGGTTCATACATTAACAGTGACTACAAAAATAAATTGAGCACAAAAATAAATTGGTTTATTTATAGGTGAAGTGGTATTTTGTATTTTCACTGATTAAATGGGCTTTGGGATTTGAAATCAATTAAAAAAGTGTCTAAAAGTAGGCAAATAACTGCTTATTAATTAATGAAACTATGAAGATTTATTGAAATTTTATATATCTACACATTCATCATGATAATTTATGTAAAAAATGTTTACAAAATCGAACATTTATGTTTATCTAGAATGATTTCAAAGTAAAAATGCAGTAAAACTCTGTTTTAAAAGCAATCTAAGCAATCTTTGAGGGTTTGAGGGTGTGTCCCATATGAATATTATTATACAGAGGTAGACTGGCTCAAGGCAGCTGCCTGTGAACTGGATTCGCTTGCTTTTTCATACAGCTAAAAAGCCATTTGAGTTGACTTCGTTTGGGTCTCTGTGGGCATTTCCCCCGCATAACCACAGATGTTGCCGCAAATGGGGGCATATGTTACGTACGTTATGTATATACATATGTGTGTGTGTTACCACCTTCTGCATTCTTAATGCCACCCCCTTTTCGTTTTTGTTTACCTTTTATAGTGCAATGCATTTGCCGTTTGTTTACGCTACTTACGTATCCGAAAGATACACAATTCACACACAATACAAATGCCATATTTCATCATTCAGATGGATGCCCCGGGGCATCTTACAGATGCATTTGCAGGCAAAGAGAGCTTCCAATCACCAGAGACTGCTTTGCATACCAACTACACGAAAAGTGTTGGACCTTTTTTTGCATTAATTTAACGTCTTATTTCTGTGGAACTTTTGAACAGTACATAGCACTTGGCCTTTTGATTTGAATTTATTGTTTGCAACGAAATTCCCGGTAATAACGAGAAACCTGTTTGTCCGATTCTTGGGGGTTGGGTCCGGTTAGCAGCACAACAACACAGGCTTCTTTTGACGTATTTTGTTTTATGAAATGCTAATGAATTTATATGGTTTCGATTATACGCGAAACTCCGTCGTCAATTATCACATGACAAGCAATAACAAAGCACCTAATGAAATAATTGTTTAGCGTATATATTGCGCACTTATTATAAATAATATTATAATAAGAAAATAGAAGCTACATGCTCTTAGATCTCGAGCAGAGCATAGTCTAGCCCTTGAAAGCCCTGTCTGAATTCCTGGTTAGCAGTCAGGTGTTAATAAACCATTCCCACACAGACCTTGAACTCTGGTTGATTGAGAAAATATTGCACACTCGTCGCCAATTAGCACGCAATAGCTTGGCAATGGGAGATTCGCATGTTGAGTTGAAACCCCAAAAAATACGTTGACCCAAAAATAAAGCAAGGTAAAATCTGGGGTAATATGGGAGGTAAACTTAAGAAACCTGACTTTCAGATCTTTTTTTGCTAGATATTTAATTATTATAATTAAAATATTGAATATATCTTTGTAGATATGCTCTTTATCTTGCAAATTTACCTAAGCAAAAAAGAAAAATATTATTACCCCACCCAACACCATAAAGAGTTGTTGGGGAAAGTGTCTGTCTGGCTAATTTGTGAAAAGTAATAACATTAAGTCGAAAGAAAAAGTGCCAAAAAAAACGTTGAAATTGTATCGGGGAAGCGTGGGAGAAATCTCTCCCGTTATTTTCGAGTTCAGTAGCTTCCAAACGAAAGTCACCAGAGCGATGGGTTATATAACACCATCTGGATCTCACAGGTAACGCCCACCAACCAAGCCAATCGTTCTCCGGCGACAGTTACCGGCTCTCTCGGCTATTAACACCACACGACAGGCGAACAAAACTCGTTTAGCACCCGGGGAAAACTTGTCCGTTGGCTGCCGGCTGCTGTGGAAAATTGGAAATGTATCTGCCAGATACTAGCCAGTGAAGCGAGGAAAGTAAAAGTGCCGCGCAGTGGCGCCCACTTTTGCTTTCTTCTGTCGCTTCTTTCTTCTGCAGTCAAGCAGCAATAGTTGCTAGCTTCCATTGAGTCGTGAAGAAGGCAGGCGAAAAGTGTAGCTCACCTTGCGAAAATGGCAATAAAAAAAAATCTCCCAACTCTGCTGCAACAACAACTGCATTGTTTGAACCCTGCCTGGGACTCCTACGTAACAAATGAATGGAACCCACATGAGTCACG